TGAGCGATTTTCATTCATTGTCAGGCTAGACTATCCTCCAAACTATGCTTGTGGAGGTGAGACAACGGAAGAATAGATGCTTTAATGTGAATTTAGCTACCTGCTCTGAAAACATCGATATGACACCGTTGCCTCACCGCCTCCCTCTACTCGTTGCAAGAACCAACCTCAGAGCCTCCCCAAATTGGTGGACGGCTCCGTTCTCCAAAATTTCCGGGCGTCATGGACTGCCAAAAAAACCTCACCATATCGCATTGAACGATTCATAGAAACAATAACGGCCGCTCATTGCGCAGTTACTGCGCTTTGGACGCACTCCATTGCACCAGGGCTCCCTATACCCACATGGCTCCCATGGCCCTAGATAGACGGTCTGTTTTATCCCTGCGCCTGGCGATGGTCCGCAGCCATCATGGACATTGTTTTTAGGAAAACGAGAGGTAGGTCTGGCTGTTTTGGACGCTTCTATCTGTTCGATTGATGTTAATTGAGAAGTGTCTGGTTCGTGTTGTGCCATATCTTTATGTTGTTTTAGCGGCTCAGCGGAGGGGGATTTCCGATCGCTGCGATCGTTCCTCGATGCAACCTGTGGTTTATCGTTGTTCAAGGTACCTCGACTTACTTGGAGAGAAAGAGTTGAATTGAGACATTTCGATAAGGCTCTCGAACGAAGCGATTTCTATGTTTGTTGAAAAGTGGTGAGTGCTCAAATGTAAACAGCTGCGATGAATTGGTGTGTATATGAGGAAAGCAGGATCTTCTTCTACAGAAACCACTCCTCCGAAAAGTTCGATAAAGATAAGGAGATCCGGACATTGGGTTTCCCTGCCTGAATCCCTATACCTACGATCTTGGCGGATAGCGAGTACTCCTTCCTTGTACCCAAAAAGTCCCACTCGAAAAACAGCTCTCGAGCAGGTGCCGAGTCGGTCCATCTGCTTGCATCGAAAATACCGCACCTCAAACACGAGCTCTCGAATCGGTCCGCATTTTCAAGAATCAGACAACACAACAGGAGTCTAGCCAGTAGAGCAAGTTCCACATCCCTGAACGTCCGACCAGCTCCCCAAAACAGACCGAGGAGATCAGGACTACCCCCTCCTCACGGCCATCTCGAATCCATCCCGCAGCGGACCTACGGGTCCCAAACACCACCACAACCCACCCACCCCTCGAAGTTCGCACAACCAAACCCCAAAAACCCCGCCTCGTCCCCCGACAACCCCACCCGATCCCAGCACGCCAGCCACCAACGACTCCAGACACCCAGCCGCGTCTCCACCGACCCAAACACACGGCCACCCGGAGAGCGTGACGCAGCGGGCCCAGTCCCAAGCCCCGAGTCCGGCCGGGATGAAAACGTCCAGAATGCTGCCACGGACGATGAATCGCACCCCGTCCTCGATTCCGCTGCTCCAAAAACCCCGTCGTCACCGGGTCTTCCGACGTGGAAATGCCAATCGCACCGCCAGACACGACGGGTCGGCCGCACGGGAAGATATCATCGCACGGATGCCGGAGTCGTTGATCGATTCGATTCGATTCGACCCAACGCACATGCTGTGGGGGGCTGGGTTTGATCTGTTAGATAGATTGCAGACGACATTGGCATGGACGGACCGACCTAGCTAGCCGTGACGGCTCTGTGGTGGAGCAGCGTCTTGCCGATGTCAGCTGCGATGATGGACTGGATGGGTGGTTCGGACTTTATCTTAGACCTCGTGACGGGGGTCGTAATTCAAGGCCTGTCAGAGCTTGGTGACGATTGGAGGCAGCAAAGTTTGGGATCTCGGCGGGACAGTCGAATCCATACTTGCTAAACAATAAACATCCCATGACAACGAGATTATGGCATAATTGGACAGTGATGGTGTTGGATTTTCCTGCTGTGAAGTCATTGCAGTCTATCTACTTTGTGCTAGCATGTCATATCGATCAATTGTCTATTTACCCCTAGCAAGTCCATAAAGCCAGCACCGAAGAAAGGAAAGGAGTAAGAAAAGCTGAGAAGAGTCATCGCACCATTCGTGCTGGTAGTCTAAGTGGTATCATCCGCCCAACACCGTAGCATCATCCGTCCATCCTTGCCAGCCGTTCGTGATCCTTTGCCGAAGTAAAAGCAGGCGACATAAGATGGGCATCCTACTTGTTGCCGGACTTCTCCTTGGCGGTATCCTTGGCCTCTTTCCCCTTTGACTGTGCAGTATCCTTGGCCTCATTTCCCTTAGCCTGTGTGGTATCCTTTGCATTCGCAGCCATGTCTTTTCCCTCATCTGTCTTCTGGAAAGCCATGTCCTTTGCATTCGCAGCCATGTCCTTTCCCTGCTCTTTCTTTTGGTATGCCAAATTCTTCGCCTGCTCAGACTTCGCTTCTGCGTACTGCATCGCCTGACCGGACTTGTCGTGGGCGTAGTTGGAAGCAGTGCCGTACTTCTTGACCGCGTAGTCAGTTCCCTCCTCCTTCTTCTGCCCCAAGAACGTGCTCAACCAAGACAGTGTATCGCTCGTAACCACCAAGCCGGTAGTGATCATGGCCTTGGAACCAGCAACATAGCCATCACCACCGCACTTTTTGTATTCGCTAGAGTAGGTATCCAAGACGTAGTTCTTGCTGTCACCAACCAAACGAAATGGGAAGTACGCGTAGTCCAACACGGTGCCCTTGATCTTCTCGGTGTTCTCCTTCACGATGGGAAAGGTGTGATCGACTCTGGAGAGAGCGTCGGAGCCGAGAGAGTCGGCCTTAGCGACGTATGGAGCGACATAACCGTAGGGACGCTTGGCGTAAGGGACGAAGGGTGCAACGAGCTTCTCGTAGCCGGTGTTGGAGAGGTCGAGAGATTTCTTGCCGTAGGGGTTTGACTTGAATGTCGAGATGGCGTCGGAGACGACAGGGTAGGAAGTGAGGTGCTGAAAAGAATGACACATTAGCAAGAGAACGTGAGAGAAGAGTGGTATGCAGCCTCGTTGAAGGCGACAGCCAGGTTTGGAAAGGAACGAAGCATGAAACAATGGAGCAGTGGCAGTGATGCATTCACGAACGCTGGAAGAGGGTCTTACATCAATTGTCTGCGAGGAGTTGTCGCCGTTGGCCATGGTTTGAGAAGACATGGTTACTGTCTTTGAATGAGGGGTATCTTTTCTGTGAGTTGGTCTGTGAGGCCTCGGGGATTTTTGTTAGCTGCTAAGCTCTATGATGATGCTAAAAATGTGTCGAGGTATTGATAGTGAGTAGGAGCATGATGTGGATTGGACTTACCGTGTGTTTTCTGTGTAGTTGACTGGATTCTGTGAGGACAGCAGAGTCAGTGTATTGAGTCGGAAGATGTGGAGCGTATGGCGCAAGATGAGGTTGTGGTACGAACCTTGTAGTGAGAGCAAGATTTGCGGAGAATTGAGTACGATTTGAAGTGTGATATGATGTGGAGGAAAGAAGAAAGAAAGAAGAAGAGGGTGGAGGGGAAGATGGAAGGTGGAAGAAAAGGTAAAGTAGGAAAGAGCTTCTGTTGAGAAGGTGTTATCCTGTTTTTGGAGATGGTGTTGACAGACGGACCGTTAGGGGACAATATAATCCCTGTTCTTGGCACTACGTAACTTTGCCAAGCGCCAACTCCACTTTTTATTCGCTTCTACAGGTACCTACTCTACCGTATGGTTGTCTTGAGGCAGCAGAATCTTTGAGAATGATCAAATTCTGTATCTTACATCAGAAATGATGGAGGAAGTATCCATGAGCCATTTCCCTCCATTTTCCTCCCAATCTTCAACCCGTTAATCTTACGCCACGCCATGCGGAGGGAGCAGTCTAAGAATGATTCCTTGCATTTACTCCTATCTGCCCTTATCTAAAACGGCGCTTCAGGAACGTGGTCGCGCCTTTCCCGGAGCTTGGCCTGCACTCAAGTTATAAAAGGAGCGGACAGGTAGTCTTCAGTCTTCTCTGTTCTTACTTTACTGTACGGTACTCACAAAGTCTGAGTTCCTGATATCGTTTCCATTGGCAACGTTGCGAGTGGAAGTCACCTTGAACCCATGGGCACAGAAGTGAAACGATGCAAGTGAATAAAAGCCGTTGGAACGTATCTGTGGCGTTCGGTTGCAGGGGTGGCTTTCAAAAAGCTTGACATGCTTAGTGCCGGCAGTAGCTCGGTAGGAGGTCCAAGGGTGGGTACCGTACCCTAGGTGGTAGGCCCTGCCACCACACACGAAGGGCAAGTATTGAGAGGATCTCTTCCAGGCGCCTGTATCTTGACTGCCTCATATGTTGTAAAGTGTCTTAGTTGTCATAGGTCTTGCCGAGGCTATGCTCGTAATTTGTGCCTAAGCATCCAAGGTTTGAACGTCGAAGCGGCATCGCAGACTTGTTGGCTGAGCCAGAGCAGAGCCCCTTCTTACGAGTTAACAGGGCTAGAAAGTCTAATGAATGCTTCGAAAAGACCGCCCCTAACGGACCAGATGTCTTGCGCGCAGGCAACTTCGCCGCCTTAGTACTTGAGCCTCGAGAATGATGCTCTACTCGGTGAAACTTCACGTCCCCATCCAATTTACTCATGCAGGAACAGATGAGGCGACGCATTCACATTATAAGAACGACTTTCTGCCTCGTTTCTGGTTCGAACTTCAGGCTCTTCATGATGGAATGATTTGGTGGTGTGGGAGAAGAGCCTCTGAATGAAGGCGAAAGGAATTCGACCTTCTGCTACAATCAAACCTATGAATAAGCCGTGACTGGAGAAATTGGTTCGTCAAGCGCAAATATGGTATCAGTGTTCTTATGATGATGATTCATGAAAACAGCAAATGCACACTCTATTCTCTGATTTATGTAGTTGACTTTCTCAACACTGGGGTGAGGAGGCCTGCCTGAAGACGTGTAAGCTACCCCAGTCTTGCCAGCACCATCATGAATTCCTCTGAGCTCTCCTGGATCTCCGTAGAGTTTTTGGAGTGACGGTATTTGATCATCTATACCCCTAGCCTAGGAAAGCATCTTTTGCATCCTAGCCACTCCGCATTGCTCCATCGAAGCCATTGGTGTGAGGTTCTCGACCCTCCTTGCCCGTGAACCGAACCTCATCGGCGCGTTCAGACTGCCTTACGTATTCGTAAACTTGATCCCTCAACTCCTGCGGCAAGCTGAAGAAAGGCTGGGGTTTCTCGCGTTCAATGATCGTTTTGATTGTCAGTGCCACCGCGCTCACAGGCTCAAATATGATAGGACCATGCTTATTCCAATCTTGTTGGTCTCGATGAGTTTCCCAGAGCTCATGTGCACGGCCGTAGTCCCATGCAACGTAGCCCATTTTTCGGATGGCCATCTTGTATGTCTTTTTAGGTGTAAGACCTGCAAAGTCATCTCTCCATGAGCATTCGTGGCTTGAGAGTTCGTCCCTTGAAAAGTAGACCTTGCGAGTATGCGTTGTACCCTTGTTGAACTGAAGCAGCCGCACGGCGGCTTTCTCCATGGGATGTTTATCCAATCGTCCGACTTTGCTGTGTAAGGTACCCCACTTTCCAGTCTCTTCATCATTTATATTGAAGACGTCGGCCGACAATTTCTCGTTCCATCTGCTATAAGGTTCACTTGGATAAAGGTCGGTTTCAGTCCTGTCAAGCAGTAAGTCCACTGTCACAGGCCGGTCCTCTAGCGATGTCACGGTCAAGGTGACGAAAAAATTGCATGGGTCGCCAAGATAGCATCTTGACGAACTTATCGAGAAGGAAACAGTGAAGCGAGGTATTGGGACCCCTGCAACGACGGTGAAAAGTAGAGGCTCAGGACCACAAATCATCTGGGCTCTAGCATCCTTGGGCCATTCCGAAGGTGTCAACGTTGCTTGACACGTGGATTCGCGGTTCCCAAATTTGGACCAAATCGTGAAGCGCGCGCCGCAGAACCGAAGCTTGTACTGTTTTCCAGGAAGGAGATACCGCCTTAGACGGTTCAGGAGCCTAGCATTGATCCTTTTCAATGGGTGTGTTTGACCTCCCTCGGGATCGGACTCCTGGCGATTGGCGCAGAGTTTTTCTAGTTCTTCGTCGACTGGCTTCACTGTTACCGCTGTGTCATTGTCCGCAACCTCCAATAGCCCCATTTGCAACGCTCGCCCGACGTCGATCATGTCTCCCCAGTCATCGATATCTGAGCCGACGAAGACAGGGAGGTAGTAGTTGACGTCTTCTTCCTCATCGCTCCCAATTTGCAAGTAGATCCGTGTGGAAAACCCTTTCCAAAGATCCAAGACAATGTCTTGCACGAGATCCGAATTATTGTCGAACGCTTTCAGCATAGCAGAAATCTTGTTCGGCTTCATTTTGATTGTGCGAGACATCCTGAAAGCGCTGTGGTCTCGCGTGTTGAACCAATCCACAATTGATTTAATCTCGGGTCGAGGAGCTATAAGGTAAGACTAAGCGGGGTCAAGCGAAATTCAATAATCGCGCGCCTCAAGTAAATAAAGCAACAGCTGAAGTGTTGACGGTAAGGTATGGCTGCGATCAAGATCTAAGAGAGGAGCACAGATAACATCCCTTTCATGGCATCTCCAATTCTGCTCGCGAGCGGTCTGGTCTGCCACCTCCATCGGAATCCTACCGGTAAATAATTAGACCCGAAATCTACGGCTCGTCGGCTACCTTCGATTGCCTACTCCACGCGCCTATCAGGAGCATGGCACAGAGCACACCTTCAACCGGTGAACCAAGATTTATAGAACTTCATTAGATGGCTTCCTACACATGTGCCATACCTGTTGGTAGGGAGGGGGGTTCCAAAGCCATTATCTAAAGAACGACGGTAGGCTTGACGTTTTGGGAGTGGATTGACGTTGAGGCTGCTAGATGAGGGTTTGATGATTGCTAGTGGTGTTTAGCACCAACGCGGTGCCTAATGCCGCTAGGATTTGAAAAAGAAGGCACTATTCTGTAAAGGGAATTGGGTATTGAGGATTGTTGGGAATGCGCGAGGGAATTTCGCGTGTTTGGGGCACGAGTATTGCTCCAATATGTGAGCATTGCCCATAGCCTCGTATCGGGCCGGTGTTGGGTTTCACAAAAACATTGCAGACACTGTGGCTCGTACTCCTGTCTTAGCTAGGCTATCTTTCTTCTTAGCATCGCCTCAATGGATACCCATTTTCATGGGTACAATGATCCGAATCACCATCCTCCGCGCAGACCGATCCTGCGGCTTCCTATGCATACGGGGCGTATAAAAGCGATGGCTTCCCCGTCTGATTGAACACGACGTAATTGTTCTCAAAGAACGGGAAGCCCAACACTTTCGGATCGGAAGCGTTCTGAATACTCGGGTTACAATACACAGCTACGTCTCATCAGGGACCCAGCGTTGCATGGAATCGAAGGACGAATCAGGCAAAGCGAAAGGACTCACCACTCGATGAAGAACCCAAAGACGTAGATACATTGACGGGGAGTCCAATCATGGATGCGCCGGCGACAGTGGCTGTGCCGTTGCCGATGTGCAGAGCCAGGTCAGGGAGCGTTGCGTTGCACGGGACGAGCCTGGGTGATTGAAGGTTTCGGAGTCAGCGCTGGCTCTTCAGACTGCTTCTGCGGGCCCGGGAATACATCTACAGAAAGAAGCAAATACTGCCCAAGCCGTGACTCGAAAATTGCTCAAAGTTCGGACCGCCGAAGACACGTACCACAATGAAATGCCATCGCCGATACGATCATCGAAGACGGCTCCGGGCACTCGACTGTAATAGGCTTCAGCAACTGACGACGGGGTGGCTATGTTGTGTCCTGCGCCTGTGTCTGTGAAGAGCGAAACAGCAGGTTAGGTTAAGGCAGGCTAGGTTGAGGAGTCTTAATGGATGGAGCGATACGCACCAAGAACAACATATGTGCTAGTGTTCATGCGCACATTCCCAACGCTGAAGTCGACGTCGTCGACCGCCCAGTGGCCACCCGTGCTGTTCAAGGGTGCGTTCGCGAGTTGGCCTACGTACTTGCTATGATCGATGCCGCCAAACTCGATACTGGCCGAGCCGTCCGAGCCTGTAACTTTGAAGTCCAAGGCGAAGCTTTGCATCTCCGAAACAGAAAACGGAGTTGGTAAGGCTCGAGCTGGGTGCCGGAGGTGTTCGATCAGCGCCCAATCACTGGTACCGAGTTTGAACCAAAGCACCACAAGGCTACCGCGGGGGGGGGCTATCATACCGTAGGTGGCCTGAGGACCCAGACCCAACAGTCCGATAGAAGGCTGTTCAAGGAAATACGGAGAACTAGCATTGGCGATACCCATCGAAACGTTGTTGAACGTGAGGCCACCGATTTTGACGGTCTCTTCGATCACACGCCCTGTGACTAGACCTCCTCCGTACGCAACGGTGAAGGTTTCGTTCACGGGGCTCACTGTACGACTCTTGGTGTAGTCATACGTGCCCCGGTTACTGAAGTTCAATGCAGAAAGGGACGGATCAAGGACCCATCTGGGGCATGTTGTTAGAAGATCTTGGACCTGTATGAACACTTTCGAAAGCAGCTCTCACAAGAAGGAAGAGCCTGTGTCAATTTCCAAGGTTACGTTCTGCCCCCCAATGGTTACATTAGTATCCCATTGAGACATTGACGATTGGACCGCAGATATGCCAGTGTTTCTGCGCTGAAGGGGCAATCTGAAAGGGGGAATCGTCTCTTGGCTTTTAGACAGAGCTATACATGTGAATAGTGGAAGGAGGTGGAAGCAATGCATGATGTAAAGTATATACTCGTAATTGCACAGTCGAACAACGAAAGAAAGATAGAAAGAAAGAAAGAAAGAAAGGAGAGCTAAGACGAGGACTAAGAAGGAAATGCTGTGGTGTCTAATTTTGTGCAATGCTTGCAACTACAATCAGTGCCGCAGCCATATAATGAAGCGCGTCTGCGGCTCTGCGGCATGAAGACGAGGAATGTCCAATTATCCGCCTTCTTCTTTGCTTGTTTCTGGAACTATGGCCTGTTACTGTCAATGCGTATGCTACCCTGGCTGATAAATGGTTGGGCAACAAAATGCGGGTACCGGTCCAGCGGCCTGAACCCAATGCTTGCTCTAATTCCCCCTGAGAAGCCAAATAGGCAAGTCCCTGCATAAGAAGAGAATCAAGCAGTCGTCCGATCAAAAAGGTTTGGCCTACCAGACCATCTTCCACAAAGCGTAGGCCATCCAGTCGTAGCAGTCACCTCCGGTCCCAGAACGTTCTGCATCTAAAGACCTAATCGTGGCCCTATTATCGCTTCGTGGTCCACGATTACTAAACCCCATCAAGAGCCTATCCAGTGCCTGGGTCTCCACATTGACTTTAAAGACCATGGCGGTAGGCCGCTGCCTTTGCTTTGATCTTCCAGTCTGAATTTCCGCGTCCGGCGGCGAATCTCTCGCGACATTCAGCAGCGTGCTCGTGTTTCATGCTCATGCACAGCCTCCTTCTCATTCTAGCTTTTAAAGGCCACAGCTCATTGACCTGATCCAAATACGCAGAAGTGCCGTAATTGCCAACAACCCGTCATTTTGGCTCCACCTCCCGCTTCCAGGTTGTAGTCGTTCCACATGCTTTGCGGAAAGCAGCGCTCTCGTTTGGCGCAACTGGTACGAACTGACTACTGTTGTTTCAGCCCGTGCTGAGCCATGGTCTCAGTCGATGTCTAAGCCGTAATGGCACATAGCACAACGTTCAGAGTATCTCAAAGTGTTTCTGGGCTAGCATGCCCGCGACGAATCTTTCATCCTCAACTTCCTCTTCATCTCCACTTCTGCTTTCGACTTCTTCGTTGCTATCACTGCTGCTCTGGTCCTCGTCCTCCTCGTCTCCACCCCAAAGGTCTATGACCTGACCCAAATCCTCGAAAATGCAGTAACTATCAGCAATTCCTTGTAGCTCTATCAGCTTATCATCGCACCACGGCCTCAGCCTTTCCAGCTCTTCAGATGTCAGGCTTTCCGCAATTTCCAACATTACTGGCACCAATTCTCCTCCAGAATCATAGTCCTGCCTAATTTCATGGCCCACCACCCCATCGCTCAAACATATCGACTTCGCAATCTTTCTCAATGTCTCCAGTGCACTCTCTTTGGTCTTGAAACTAGCAGTCTTCGGGCAACGGGTTCGAATTGTCTCAAAGCACGCCTCAATGCTCTCTGCCGCCTCTCCGGCCATCTCATATGCATGCGAGCCCTTCATGCGATCATATGTGACGTTCAGTGTCTCCCACGCCGACTTAGAGAGATAATCAAAGTCCAGGACTTTGGCGCGCTCAGTTGCGGCGATGCGATCAACTTCCCGTTGGACGATGGACGCAATTTCTGGGTAGATTTTCGCTGCGGTAATGAGGAGACTTGCGATTGTTTTTGGGTCGATGCTGTCGACGAGCTCCGGAAGCTTGGAGGGGTCAACGGCATTCGTATCTGTATCCGAGCGGGCACGCTTGGCTGGGCGACTGGACATTTTATGGACGAGAGATTAAGTGCAAACCAGGGGAATCTTTTCAGAAGATTGAGTGCTTTTCGTTTACTAGGAATGGTTGTCCTTGAGGGTGCGCGTTGAGTAGCGTGAGTAGTTGGACGCGCTAGAAGCTGGGTCATTCTCACTCCTGCTACCCGGTGTAGCGCTAGTGCAAATCTCCAATTACCTACAGTATTCTCGAATTCGCGAACCGTCTCTTCTTATTTCTCTTCTATTCTTTGTTGAATAGTCGAGTGCGAGGCCTTTGAATAGGGCCACAGCTCCTCACAGGACCTCGAAACATGAACCGACAGCTGCTCATGTGGCTATCATTCATCTAAATTTCCCCTACTCGCTATCTATCAAGCGTGCAGGCTGAGCTAGAACCAGACCTGTCACGTTCGTCGCCCCATCTGGTGTTGGCCATAGGCTTCCATAGACCCATATGTTGATCAAGTCCTTCGCTCCAACACCCACAGTCGCCCGTCCACCAAACTGATCCACGGATCTCTCTTCGCCGGAGCACTTATGCGCCAGCACCCATGCAGTAGCCTCAACGATCGACAGCCTCACTGTATCCTGATCATTATTGTTGTTCATGTCCAAAAGGATCACACATGACCTGTACCTAACCTTCGCAGGAAGAGGATAATAGAACTTCGTGGCCACCGGTTCTCGGCTAAAGGTATACCTCTGATCGCGTTGCCTATCCCCAAAGACTGCGTTTGTGGCCATCTCACAATCTTTGAAGTTGATCGGCCAAGCTCGTTCGCGTGGTAGAGGTGGATCGGCACATACTAAGGCTCCGCCGAGCTGAGGGGCATTTACGCCCAATCTGTCGTCCAGACTAGTGGTGTCCACCGCCGACGGCTTAATCAAGTTGAGCGAAGTTTCATTCAGCAAGCTTGAATCGTCGCGAGCCAACTGTTCTCTAGCGACGATGACAGCACTCTCCGATACTGCCGGCCCAACTGCCCCATTCTTAAGAGGTAAACCCCTCCCGAAGACAAGAACGTCTACCACCTTCTTCGGTCCCGCCATGCTCCTCCCACCGAAACCAAAAGCGGCCTGAGTACATCTGTGCGCTATGTCCATGGCTGTAGTATAGACCAGCCACGGCTTAAATTTGTCCTTATCCGCATCATTCATTACGTCTATTGAGATGACGCACGTTCCGTTTCGGACCACCTTTGGAAGCCTGAAACCAACATTATTTCTTCTGGCGAATGTAGTGGGCCGGAAAGGGTCTCTGAAGTAAAACAGTTCCTTGGCGGCGTTGACGCAGTCTTGCTCTCTGGCTGGGTAGAGGCCCCTATGCGGTGTGGCCTGGTTGAAGCAGTCGCCATGCTCATTGTTGTTTGAGGAGCTGTTCACCATCAGCAAGCTGGTAGCGTCAGAGTAGGATGCGTTCGAAAGGCTGGAAACGTTCGACTGAAGACTAGCTGCGAAGGCGGAGAATGCATAGAGGAAGAGCAGCAGCAATGCGGCCGCGCGGGCGTGTAGCAGCGCCATGCATTCCCGTAGAGACAAGAGTAGAAGAAGCAAATGGAAGAATAAACCCACGTGTTTGAATGCAATCAGTGTCGCGGCTAATGCTGCTGTCGCTTCTCGTATAGCAATATTCCTCTATGGACCGCTTTTCTGCAAGTCAGAATAGAGACTCAGAGAGTATCCGCATTTGCGCAAAGCAGAGCCTCAAGTCCCGCTACTACACTAATGCAGGGCAGGCAATCCACCTATCAGGTGCTTGTCCGTCCTTCCGGCCCCCATATGGTTTAGACAGCACAGCCTCACGCACCTGATCTTATCTGTGACGCCTGGAAACGTCAGGTCTTAGATGTGCTTTCGTCGCAGAGCAAGAAACTCTTGTAAGAGTCCACAAAAAGGTGCAGACCGAAGAACACGATGCTTGACGTCGATCCGTCCGGGGCATTGCTGCTGTCCGACGGTCGATAGATCTCAGGTATGTTCTTGATCAAAGGGTTCATATTGGAGAGGGATTCTGATACTGTGTCCTCAAAGGGCCGAAGGTGTTTCTTCATGCTCTCGTGTAGTTCATCCTTCAATATACTCTCAGCGCCGTGTTGACGTTTTCTGTCGTCCGCGCAGTCTGCAGGGTTCTCAAAGACTGCTACTTCTAGAATACTATCCTCGAACTGCGTGCTTGACCCTCGGATGATTGCTTCGGCCGGACAGAACAGTCCGTGACCGGAAGAAAGAACACCGTTCTGAGCTGAGTCGCGGGCGAGAAGTTGAGAAACGCTGCTATCATGGTTGTCAATCCCTAGGAAGGATTTGTACTTAACATAAAGCTCTGCATGATCCGTGGCGTTCATTGATATGGAAAATGCGCGTCTGTTGAATCGAAACCGCAGACAGTCCGCTGCCGCGGTGGTAAGCCAGGCAGCGAAAATATTCGGAATGGAGCCTACTACGGCCTTGACCCAGACTTCTATCATTTTCCTCAATGCTTCTACAGCTGGGCGAGTTGAAATACGTTTCTGTGGAATTCTCGTGCTTCTTTATTCCTATACTGTCGATCTTGGTATGCTGCTTGTAGAAGGTAGTGATCTCCTTTCGAGCTTGGATGGCATCTTGAAACGCATAAGGGATCCTCAGAGGTATGTCCGTGCAATTCGACTTTGCAATCGTCGTCGCCGCTCGCCTCAGCTCTTTAAAAGTTCCGTTTGGCGCCGTCTTGACCCAAATACTTGCCGCTCGCAGCTGTAGCAATCCATATGACGATTGCGTTTGTGGCTTTCTTGTAGGATGCGTTTATTGGGTACAAGACCGCGTCGAATCTAAGATCATTATCAGACATATCGCCAGCTTTATTCCCCCCAAAAATGCGTGTAGTGCAGAGGAGTCATGGGTAGAGGAATGTAATGAAATAGTAGCTTGCAGAGCTTGCCCGACCGGAGGTGAAGAACTCCGGGACATTGAAGCGGTGAAAGATTCCAAGTCAGGTTGCTCCGCGCGCCTAATCCACGGGTTTCGCTGAGACAAGAACGAAGAATTGGTCTAGAACGGCTGCACAATGTTTCTGAAAGTATCGACGTCTGTCAACGACCCTGAGATCGCAGCGACGAATGTGCTGAGGTGGAGCACAAAGTTGAGTACGATAGGTGGAAATGGGTTGAAATCAGCTACTCTACAGTCTAACTATACCAGAGAATGATCAGTCGCATCGTTTGAGGAAACATCCCTGTCGCGTAACAAACATTTGAACCTGCAAGCCCTCAAAGAAATTTTACTGAGGCCTGATATCGAGAAATGAATTACTTGTTTGTTGTACTTATTCCTTAATAATAGTCAGGAAAGTGAGCCACAGAACGCCAACTAGAAGTGGACTGACCTAATACTGTAAGTCCCCATCGGCATATCCAGACCCTGGGCCAGGCAGACCGACGCCTGTCTCCCCCTCGATGTACCTAGTCTGCCCACTTTCCGTCTTGTAGCTGGCATACACTTTCTCCGGCTTTCGCCCCGGTGCGCAACGAACCATGATCTCCTTGATGCGCTGGTAGACTTTCCGGATGGCTAAAACGCCAGGGGAAGTAAAAGAAGGGCCTTGGTTCTTGGTGTTGGGCTCCGTGGTGGTACGGGCTTTGGATGCTGGATGGCAAAGACAAGGCGAGCCTGGCGGCTTCGATGGATCGAACTTGTGAGGCATGTACCATTCAGGTGGGATTGGAGACTCGCATGATGGACAGCGGCCGTCTTTCTGGCCGAGTAGGTGGTCGATACACGCGCGGTGAAAGATGTCACCGCAGGGGAGGGCGCGGATGGCGCGGTTGGTCTTTTCGTATTCCTTACGGCAGAGATGACAGATGGGCTGGCCCGGCCACATTTCTTCAAGATAGTAATGTTTTGAGCTTGGGGGTGGACGGCCGAGGGGTGAGTTGGTAGATGTTCCGGAGGTGGGAGTTGCTGAAGAGGCGTTGGCTGGTGAGGAGGGTTCTGTCGACTCGCATGGAGTACTGTCTGTTATTTCGGGTTGCTGACCAGCAATCGGAGTATCTGGTCGCCTTAACGATGGACCATCCATATTGTGTTCAGGCTGTTGACTATCGTCTTGGTCGCCTTCTTCTGTAATCGGATATATAGACGTGCTTGTTCGAAGCTGCTCGCCATCGCCTTTGATGTCTTGATCGATTGGTGACTGAGGCGACATGACTTTGTCGGAATGAGGCTCTTCTAATTTTGAGGTTGTTCGTGGATGAATGTATAATGGTAAAAATAAGTCTCCTGGAAATTTAGGATCTCTGAGGTTTCCTAAACGCAGTGATGGAATACTGGACGGTGTATGAAGAAGGAGAATAGAAAGGTCAGATACATGAGAAATATCGAAATTTTCATTAAATGCATTTAAAATAGTTGAATATCTTGATACGACTCCCCCTCGCCACAGATGATCCCTGAGGCCGAAGCCTTGGCCTTCAAACGGAATCTTAGCCATGAAAGAACCATGTGAGCATAATTCGTGAGTCATGCCAAGGGCATGTCAGCGGGTCATTAGACATACGTTGAAGTGCCTACAGTCCAACGTGATCTGAAAAGCGCGATACAGAAGGTACTTACTCACCAAAAACCGAAAGACTTAACGTCGTTTCATCGTCTTCAGACCTCCCGCTTGAGCATTCCCGGGTAACCTTTATTGCCCATCATTGGGTTCCACTCGTACGATCTTGTCGCAATTTAGCAGACACAGTGGGTCCAATGCCACTTTGATCTTCCGCATCATATCAACAGCATTCTCGCCCAACTCAACCTCCAACATATCCCTCAGCGCCAGACCAACACCATGCTCCCCGGTTACAGTACCCTCCATCTCGATGCCTCGCCGTCGGATATCTGCTATGATATTTTCCGCCGCAACCCTGTCTTTCTCCCCGTAAAGGATGGAGGCGTGGAAATTTCCATCGCCAACATGGCCAAGAGTGGAGCCAAGCAGACCTGCTGCTTTGATTTTGGAGTCACTTTCGTCGATGATCTCGGCCAATCGAGATATAGGGACTGCAACATCGGAGCCTAAGAACTTGTCGTCTGGATCGCGCTTCTGCGCGATGAGGCTCCAGAGAGCTGTTTTGCGAGCGGCCCATAGCGCAGCGATCTGTTCGGGGTCGCTTGACGACTCAAAGGATTCTCGACCGTGTTTATCTGCGAGCGCTTTCAGTATATCGACTTGCTCTTGTACGGCGCTCTTCGTCCCCGAGAACTTCACAAATAGTGTTGGCGTCTCTTTCCATTCCTTGTCGGAATACCCGCTTTGATTCACTGCTCTCATGGTATTATGGTCGAGCAGCTCCACAGCTGCAAGCTGTATACCTTTCTGGACAACGTCAATGACTGTACTGACAGCCTTGCCGCTGCTAGGAAACGCAATGACCGCGACTTGCTCGTTCTCAGGCTTAGAGGTTACCTTTAAGACAGCCTCAGTAACCAAGCCTAAAGTACCCGAGGATCCAACTATGAGCCTCGTCAAGTCATATCCAGCTGTAGATTTCCTTGGTCGGTTCCTTGTCTTGACAATGGTGCCATCCGCCAGCACGACAGTGGTAGAAATGACCCAGTCTTTCATCGTACCATAGCGATAAGCGTTCGTGCCCGAACAGCCGGTTCCAATCATGCCACCAATTTGTGCTCCAGGCCCCGGATCCGGTGGGAAGAAGAGATCGATCTCGGCCAGCCGCGCATTCAGATCTTCCCAACCAACAGCAGGCTGAACCACGACATCCATATCTCGATCATGCACCTCCAAGATACGATTCATACGTGAGAAATCAATGCAGATACCGCCGCGGGTGGATGCTAAAGCACCGTCAAGACTTGTGCCACCGGAGAACCCTGTGACAGGGATATGGCGGCGGTGACACACTTTCATGATCTCGCTGACGTCTCTGGTATCGCGTGGGAAGATGATGAGAGCAGCGCAGGTACTTCCCGGAGACGGAGACCATTCAGTCCTCGAACGAGATTGCAGGTTGCCAGGGGTGTCGTCTATGCCATCGTGGCCAACGATGCCGATGAGCTCTTTGCGTGCCTCGCTCATGTTTTGGTCGGTGATGTTGTGCAGAGGTTTAGGGGTTTTAGACAGCGGCGAGGTCGAAGAAGCGGCAGCCAGGGCAGAAGACCAATCCTGACGTCTCCACAGTCCAGGCACCCAATGGTCCAAAGCATTACCTAGCACAACCAATGAGATTGCACCCGCTAAACATGCATCAGCTCCGAGCGTTGACGAGGGATGTAGTAATAGCTACTCACTGAAAAAGTATCCAATGCGCGCCCTCCATGATGTTCGATAAACAGGCTGATAGAAAGCATCAGCGTATTGGCGGAAGCTGTTCTTTCCAGTCAAAGGCTGCTTGATCGCTTTGCTTTGCCATCGATTGAGCGAGCGTAGAGCATCAATTCTGAACGACATTTCTATCACCTCAAAAGCCTACTGAAATTGACCAAGGGAAAGCTGTGTAGAAACGGGAAGAATTGAAAAAGCAAAAATGCACGACGCAAGGGTCTCGATCGCCATCTAGCCCTAATTCAGAATACTGTAGTCTGTTGATCCAGTGACGCTGCTACTACCTTAGATATTTGAGTCCGTCTATGGGCTCAGCTTCCTTTGCTATGTGACCAGGTGTGCACCGCCATTTGCAGAATGTGATCTTGCTGAAGAGGGGTTTGAGATATCTCGATACGGCAGTTACAAAGCGCCGGTCCCGGGCCACGGCCGAGGCCGCTATTCCCGTCATCGGCAACAGCGCTAAGACAGTAGGGAGGTTTAGCAAAAATCTTCATAACACTTATTGTAATATTTCCAAAGCGGGAACAAGCAAAATAAGGTACTGTTTATCGCCTAGAACACGGGGCCCTAACAGTACCTAGAACCCTCGAAAACCCCAGACGGAAAACCCTAACAGTGCCTAGAAGCCTTAGATAAGGAACCCTATTTGTACCGAGCCCCCATTAAGACCTCGATCTTAAACAATTAACAGTATCGCCAATACACGTCGGATTATTAAGATTTATATGTTATCGGAATGCGCTTAATTATGGCTATATTAGATCTGAATTTATTATAATGTAGTACTATTAGAAATGTAATAGCTATAATATTCGTAGTCGATAGAAAGCCTTGATAGTACGTGGGCAGGTTTCGGAACTTCTAGAGTACGAGTGAAATTCAAGTATCAAATTACAGCTCAAGGAGGCAATTAAGCTCATCAATACTCGTATAGTTTCTATAAGGTGAGTGATCGACAACGCTAGACGACGCTATTTATGACAACTAGCGATGTGATATTACATGCAAAGCAAATGCTTTACAGTAATTACCGTATGTCAGGCCTCTAGAGCATTACAGCATGTAATTCGTGAAATGCGCTTAGTAATCCAAATGTAGGCCTTCTGATTGGCCAAATTCATAGTCTTGGCAATATCTTGCGGAGAAAAGTCTTCAAAACCTACCATTTCTTCATCAATTAACCTTCCATTAAGTATACCTCCTATCAGAACACATAGCCAAAGAGACCATACGGTCTGGAGGGCCTTTACCGAGGCAGGATCTATATAGCCTCATTTCTTGACTCGCAAGAGTACCCTCAGTAGGACTAGATTACACGGAAATGGTACCTCTCAACAGGTGGATTCCAGGCCAAATTTTAAGTACCCACTAGTGCCCTACTAGCGTGACCGTCAGACCAATTGCTTTGCAGTAATTTCACGTGTAATTACTGAAAGTGTAATTACTGCAAGGCTTTTGGTCACATCGCTAATGACAACCTCCCCCTCCTCCCTAGTACAGAAAAGATACAAAACTCCCTTTACGTGCCAAATCTCGAGCCTCCGCCAGGAAAACGGCCACAATGAACACAAAAGAATTGAAAGACAAAAGTGACCAAACCCAGATGCTGTAAGATTATGATACAAAAGTTACCCGCAAGGCGAAGAGGACGTCGGTCGATCAGATCTCCGTACATTGTCTTCACGGACCACGCCTTCAATCAGGATTAGTCCGAACGCGGTCATGGCGCTCAGTCGTATCGGCTCAGAGGGTGAGAAGGATATGGAGATGAAAGAAAAGGCACGATGATGGGTTCAGTCGAGGCATGAGACGGACGAGGAAACAGAAAGTCCGGCATTTCCTGATGGGATGTCGCTTGCTGTCTGAGGCGGAAACTCGCGACCGATCTACTGGAGCTTCTAACCTTAATACGTCCACATTAAGGGAGTCAGGCTTATGTTCGCGGAGGGTGCGGTCTCGATGACGGTGTATAGTGCTTGGTTTTGAGAAACAGCCTCGACGACACGAACAATGTCCAATGCTACGCAGACAATCGCAAAAGAAAATATGAATGCCAGTCCGAGCTTTTGGGACATAGCGATCTTCAAGTCTTTGAGCATCCAAAAGGGCAGGGCCATTACTTGTGAAAGTCAGTTATGGCTGGCCTGACAATCGAGGCAAAACAAGGGTAACCTACTTGCCAAGTCAGATACAATGTTCACAACACAGCTGTACTCCAGTTTGATTACCCGTCCATGAGTTTGCCCATCGCAAGCCTCTATGAGAATACCTCATTAGTCTAGGTGAGCTGAAAGGAAGATCGGAAGAAACACTGACTGTAATCGGCCACGGTATCTGCACCAGCACAAGTGGAGAGAACGCCCGCAATAGGCACCCAGAAGGTCACAACGGTAAAGGCTAGTACCACCCACCATGCCTTCTTGAACGGTGTCGAAGACTGGAACAAGAAGCGGTAGAGCATCAAGAATGACAGCTTCACTATCCAAAATACCAAGTACAAGAAACAGTTATTGACGCTACTAAGTCGTTCATTATGTTCGTAGAGCCCGAGAAGGTAGGTTTGGGAGGGCCGCGGCTTAGAGTCTGCCGCAGTCTTTATTCTGGCCTTCGAATTCAATGAAAGCTGGTCTGTGCCACCATGTGCGATCAAGACCACAAGAGCACACAAATGCACCAAATCATCCCAGAAGAATCGCCGTGAGTTGACGTAGCGGATGGCATAGCGACCAATTGTTAAGGCGCCAGCTGTCCCAGTCAAAGCCCAATTGACATGCTATCGTAAAATCAGCTTTCGGTCTGGCGCAGCGCGTCCACAAAGTAACACAGATGGAAAGAATTGTACCGTGTAGCTAGATGTCGGACTCATGTCTCGGTTGAGGTGTTTATGTCTTCAGTCTGATCTGGGGCCCAAGGCTGCCTTATGTATATTGACGTTGGTGAAGAAGGAGTCTTGCTGGATGTGGATGTGCTGGATGTGCCGGAAATATTCGAGCTGAACATTGCGAGTGAAGTCTATAAGCGGCGGGGTTGGACGCAGCTAAGCTGTGCAGTAGGATCAGAAGCTGACATTGGGGTGGCACAAGAAATACTGTTGTATTATCCCATGCCGTTTCGTTCCCTCGCCCGCTCGCGTCGATTCCGCTCGCTTCACACCCCTCCACACATGCTCTCTTCTCCCTACTGATATGCATGTAGGCCGCTCAACTCATTCCATTACGCGTACTACCTAGCATTGACCGCCCATCTCCGCTCCTGTAAGCACCACATCCGGGCTGAAAGGTTGCGAAGTGCGTGCGATGCTAACTAACATACATGTGTAACGGCAATGGCGATCTTATCGGGGATTATCATCCCGCGGCCCGCCAATTTATGTGTCCGAGCGCTTGTACCGTAATAAATCGTTAGATAAATTACAACGCGACACGGCTGAGGTCCGTTGTGCTCTCCCAAACACCCAAACATGACAATGTGGGCCAGCTTTTGGATAGTCGACATTTGCTAATACCGAATCTATGGATAATAGTGTTGTGATTCACGATGGAGATTTCGAGCTCGAAGACGCCTCCCCCAGCTGGCGGCAGAAATTGCCTCGAATCGCTAGCGACCCCAGCCTTCGTTCTACTGCCATCTCAGAAGAGGATGCTAGTGAGCATGCGAAGGATAACGGAAAAGAGAGCTTCAAAAGCTTCACAGCGGACGAGGAAAGAGTGATAGTTAGAAAACTCGACCGCCACTTGGTTCTATTCATAGCATTCCTATACATGCTCTCTTTTCTCGATCGATCAAGTAAGTCTAACCGGGACCTACAACAAGGTCCGAGTGCTTTTTGCATGGCCATCTACTAAACCCTCTAGACATCGGAAACGCGAGGATCGCCGGCTTGACAGAAGATCTAAACCTCGACTCTTCCCAATATGAATGGCTACTTACAAGCTTCTATTGCACGTATATTACATTTCAATGGATGACCCTTCTGTACGGCATCGTACCAGCTCACATCTACATATCCCTTGCCACGCTAACATGGAGCCTGACTGCATGCCTGCAAGCCGTCGCAAGCTCATTTTCTTCCATGCTCGTTCTCCGCGCCCTCCTCGGTATCGGAGAAGCTGCCTTCTCCCCCGGAATCCCCTTCCTCCTCTCCTTTTTCTTCAAGCGGGAGGAGCTGGCATTTCGAACCGGCCTCTTCATATCTGCTGCCCCTCTTGCGACTTCGTTTGCAAGTAGCCTGGCCTGGCTGATAACAAAGGTGGCATATCATGTCCATATATCAGCATGGAGAGTGTTATTTCTAGTAGAAGGATTTCCCAGCATCATTGTCGCTATACTCGCGTGGTACCAGATTCCCGATACTCCTGACACGGCCAGATTTCTCAGCCAGCGCGAGAAGAAAATTGCGCGTCTGAGACTCAGCAAGGAAAGGCATACCGGAAAAGGGACGATGAGCAAAAAATCCAAATTAGACTGGCAGGAGATACGCGAGGCTTTGACGGACGTGAAGTGTTGGATCACTGCGGTAGTATCTCATCTCGAAAATGCCCAGTGCGTATACTGACCTGCGAGAGTAGTGCATGTTCTTCAGCTGCAATGTAGCTTTCTCCAGTCTTCCTCCTTTCCTTCCGACCATAGTCCACGAGTACTGCGACTCCCTCCAATTAGATCTTCGTAATCCACCTACTGACATGTGACTAGGATGCATTATAGCGCATTGGCATCCCAAGCCCTCTCAGCCCCGCCCTACTTCGTTGCCTTCCTCGTCGTTCTAGTCACCGCCTTTCTCTCAGATCGTTCACAGAATCGAAGCTACTACGTGATCTTTCACGCCCTCCTTGGTGGTTTTGGCTACCTCTCCATCGCCATCGGAGGCATGCTTAGAGCCGATTCGAGATGGAGATACGCCGGTGTTTACCCCGCAGCCGCTGGCTTCTTCTCCGCAGTAACCCTCATCCTTACCTGGACTATCAACAACCAAAACTCCGACTCGAAGCGAGGGACTGGCGTCGTAATGCTGAATCTCCTTGGACAGTTCGGACCCCTGGTAGGTACAAGACTCTATCCGGACAGTGATAAGCCATATTATGTGAAGGGTATGGCTGTGTGCAGCCTTTTCATGTTTTTGGTGGCATTGCTGGCATGGTGGCTGAGGAGATTATTGACCAGAGAGAATGAGAATTGGACGGAACACGAGGAGGCGATAGGTGAGGGAGAAGACGAAGCGTTAGTGGATGAGAATGGTCTTAGGACCAAAGCTCGATTCATCTATATTGTGTAGCATGTAAGTAGGGAGAAGAAAGAAACGTCAATCAGGCCAAAAAACCAGCGGTATTGGACCTTGGCTGGGCAGGAGATAGCCGTCTCCTGAGATGTCGATGAATTTGGAGGGTTTGGGCTGGGAGTCGGAGAGGCAGATGCGGAGGAATGTGAGTTGATGGCTGTGAAAGTATGAGCTCGTGTTAAAAGAATGTAAGATATCTAAAGTTTTGCCGAGAAGGAACTCGGCGGGTGAATAGTCAAGACCAAATAACGCACACCGCTGTCTTCCCCCCTGTTTACAGAAACAAATCACCGTGGTCCAATTGCCGAACCCCACGCGTCAACCGCCTACTCTGTGTCGGATCAAGGGTAATTACCTCTAAACCTCCTGCAGTACGATATTTCTCTCCGGTCCTCCAGGCTCCACCCCGTTTCGGAGCGTCTTTTACCATTGACGCCGTGACCGTATCTCCTTGTAGAAAAAGCCGTACTTGCGATCAGTACAGAATAATAGTCTGGCTCGAGGATCAAATGGGAACTTGACGGCGGGTAAAGAGAGGAGCAAACACGACCAGATCGGGCTCACAGTCCTTTCGCCTCAGCCGAGTAGGCGTACCAAGAGCCTGGGAGAGAACGTCGATTGCAACTTCACCAAGCTCATGGTTAGCATAAAGCAAATTATTCTTTCTGCGAGAATCGCTCCTTCTGGAGACAATAATATTGCTTCTTCGTGGGCAACAGCAACCTTGCCGGAAGCCAGGCTTACATGACTTTGCGCTACGTAAGATCTCGATATGAATATGTAGAGCAGTCTCCACACAGGAGGTGGAGCGGGTAGCAGAGAGCATCGAAGGGGTTGCTTCGGCCGGCATGCCAAGTGGAAGGAGCACCAGTGTTGGGATACCCCATGTCCTGGCATGAGTTCTCGTTGCCTTGGAGGTTTCGCAATGCGATAACTATCCGAAGAAGAAAATATACAACAAGCCTCTCGAACGTAGTATTTAGGCCTTTTGATAAATGATACTTGTACCACTGGAACACATACTGTCACTACAGTCAATGTAGACTTATGGCGAGTTGCAAACGGGGAGTTCGAAGACCGTCTTTGGGGACCTGTGCCCTAAAACCTAGCCGAGATCCGCCTAACGGGTCCCCTATAACGCCAGGACAGCTTCATCGTTTGGCCTCTTCCCGTTGGTTTCAGAAGGGCAGAAGCACCAAACAAAGCCTTTTATATCTTTGGGTTTCCATCTTTAGTTCTTAACACGCCACCACATCTTGATCAGGGAGGTGGACAAGTTCGCAAAGGTCTCTAATAGATTAGTCTGTAGCCAACAGAGCTTAGTGTTGGCACCTACGAGTAGCGTCAACTTTCTCACTTTCACCACCAAGGTACCAAGGTATCACTGAGTACCAGTACACCCATTTGATCCAATCCCAGCTGGTCGCATTAGTGATGATAGATGATTATCTGTTATCTACTCTACTATCGAAGATTGCGTGCTGCAGGTGGTTCTTGTTGGATTTCCCATCATCTGATGGAGAGAAACATGTAGCGAAGACGCCGGCAGTCCAGTCGTGCATGATTCAGGTGTGGGGGTCAACCAATTTGGACGGTCTCGGTGATTTTAGCTCAATTGACTTTATTGACCATCACGATCCAAAATTCCAGACGATTGCAGCCGATCAACATCTCATAAAAGGCATCATGCCTCCTTCCAGTCGACATCTATTATGTTCTGATGGCCCTCACTCGATCATTCACCTTCCCTCTGTCCCACACTGAAGAGAGCTCCCGGACACCACCCTTTTCCCTCAATCACGAGGACGTCGGAAGGCTACTGTCATGCAGAGCTTTTCAAGCCATTCGTGGCTTCCTAACAAGCCGACACGATGATAGGTGAGCACTCTCTACGTTGAAGCCGTTCCAATCGTAGCTGCAGGCTGACCCTCCCGACTCTAGTTTTTGTCTGCATCACCAGCCAACCAGCAAAGCACACGAAGAAGCATGGCTGTTGCAGCGCGACATCACTTACGCTTTGATCCTCCCTCTACTCGAGATTCAACGCTATGCTACTCAGCTAGCCATATCCATGCTAGGAGATCGGAACATATTTGACCTAGAGTTGGTCTTTCGTGGGGAGGCTCGGGGAGCCTTCGCGTGGCTACAGTGCTTCATCGCAGAAGAGGAGGAATGGTGCTCCGCACAAGGCTGTCCAGGTAGATCGCCCTACGCAGCATTGCGACTGCGCCTGCTGACCAGTCCGAAGCGTGCGTTGTCAGCCACGTCCTAGAGGCTGAGCCGACCATCAGGATTATCGTCACCGCATGTCGGCTCGCGTCCTCTCTCCGGAGGGTTAGTGATCCAACGCCAGGTGAAGATCCGAGCTCCCTTCCCGTCTTTGACTTCTGGCTTTCCTCCTTACGGACGGCTTTGGACGAGGACCCTTTCTGGGGACCGGATATTTGGAAAGAGCTTGAGCCCCGGGCATCGAATCTTGAGAATGGTCTTCATCAAATGGTACGCCAGTGCATCGAGTTCGAAGAGATGCAAGCCACTAAGACCGTTCGGCAACCCGAGCTTGCTCCAATCTCGGCTTCCGTGGGGGCTGCGGTACTGCCTGCCAAGTTAGGAACGTACAGATCAGATGGCAAGCGAATGGTCTTCATTGGTGAGGAGAGCAGCTGGATGCAAAAGATTGTGCTGGGCTGCTTGACCACCCTCCTTGCGGATATGGCGAACGTGGGGCGGACGCCCGGCGTTGCCGCTACATTACATGCGACGGCCGTCATATCGCCTCTATCACAGCCTCTGAGCTCATAAACCTTCCAATGCATCATGTTCTTAGACGGGAATTCGGCCATCGAGGATAAGGCGGCACCAGCGGCGTTGGGCAAGGAGGATAGATGACATTTCGGCTTCGGTAACCAATTGGGTACATGGGAATTTGATGATCCCCACGGGGAATACCCCCACAGTTTGGCGTCGGAGCAGAGTCCTGGTGAGCTGGCACGACGAGTAATAGTCTAGCGGACGAAGATCCGTATATCAAGGGAGACCCTACCATTTTCTTCCAAGACTTTCTATTTCTGCCATAGAGGCCTGTTTTATACATCACCCAATTACTTGGTTGATTATTGCATTTCAACACAACGGAATAATCAATCACGTGTTCAAAATCCCTCTGCATGGCTCATCATAGTGGTGCGACGACAAGTGAATGTTTCAATTGCCATCTAATTTCCCCACAGTCACACAAATCCGAGCACGCGACCACCTTCATACAACACCCTCCTCCCATCACCACACCGCCCTTTAACTCCAACAACAACCCTTCCAGTGAACCTTGAAACATCGTCATCATCATCACCACCCCCCACGGACCCCCACACCCGCGTCCAAGCCAAGCCCGGTCCATGCATCCAGCATGGCCTCACCATCCGCTTCACCGTCGCCATCACCACCAGCATCCCGCACTACCTCGGCGACCGAATCGGCGGGTCATCTAACCCCCACCGCGACCTGGACGTCCGAGCAAGAAGCCCGCCTGACCTACTGTCAAGACCAGCTGAAGCAAGCGCAGAAGAAGTGGAGCGATCGTCAGGAACTCTGGATCCGCGAGGTGATATTCCTATTCCCCCCTCCTCCCGCCTCCCTCCTTCCCCCTCCACACACACACACACATAAACGCAAAAAGAAGAAAGAGCGCGGACGACGCCGTAATCCCACACCACACCTCCCCATCCCCGTCGCCCCTGTCACATCCTAAAACCCCACCTCCTCCGCCCCCCAACCATCCTCTCCCGCCCGCTAACCCGGAGGTCCGGAAGCAGGTCGACCACCTCCTCGACCAGAAGCGCGCGTACGCCAAAGCGCAGAAGAGGAAGCAGACGGCGCGGGCGGAGAAGGCGCTGCGGCTGTGGAAGGCCCGGACGTGGAAGAAGGGCCCGCTGGCGCGGACGCTGAGTGGTGCGGAGACCACGACGACGGCGGCGGGGTTGGGTGCCGTTGACGGCGATGGTGATATTGGTGGTGATGGTGATGGTGATGATAACGTCGACGACGACGACGGCGACGAGGACGAGGATCCGTCGTCGCGAGGGGGAGGAGGCGTCGAGCGGAGTGATGGTTTCCCTCAACGGGTACGGATCCAAATCTTTCCTTCCCTTTCTCACACTCTCTCTCTCTCTCTCTCCCCTCTCTCTCTCTCTCTCCCTCTCTCTCTCTCTCTCTCACTCACTCACCCTCTCACTAACCAAAACCCCCTCTCTCACCCCCTCACTAACCAACCCCCCTCCCCTCACACAGCCACCCACCACCTCGTCATCCCCAACGCAGCCAAACGGCCTGAACCCATTCCGGAAGCTCATCCGCCGCATGAGCAGCGCCAGCTTCCCGCGGTAAAAGGGGGGGGGACACTCCACTCCGGGGCGGGAGCGGCGGGGTGCAGGGGTAAGGGGGGTTTTTTGTTTCGCACCCTCGCGGTTGGGAGGGTGTTGGGGTACGGGGGGTTTTTCGCGTTTTGGTTGTTGAGGCATAGGGTGAGGGGGTGAGGTGGGGGGCAGATATGATTTCGCACGAGCTAGGTTTCATGATGGGAGGAGGGTGGATGTAGTGTGGGGCAAGACACGAGGGGAGGGTTGGAGCGTTGTTCAGAGATCGATTTACACCCACAGATCTTTAGGAGGGACGCGAGCAATAAGAGTTGAAAATCGTTGGTATATTATGTCCGGGAAGTGAACGGAGCGACAAGCTCATCACGTCGCATGGTATGTCATACAAAGGCCGCATTCAGGGTATCTACCCATCTATCCCATACCCTGTATCCCCATTGCCCCAATCCTTCGGAAATCGCGATGTCCATCCATTTCCTGAGCCTTGCCACGGCCCAGCGCCAGTGTCTCAGTGTGGGAATGGCCAATGTTCTGACCGGCCCCCTTTCTCATAGAGGACCTTCTCATAATCCTCGTTTTCGTCGTCCTCATCATCATCAATATCGTAGCCCTCTAACACTTCCACCTCTCCCATAGCTATACAAGAATCTGTCGCAGAAGCATCGCTTTTTTTCCGCCCGATAGTGTGTCGATCTTCGTCGTCCATCCGCTGCGCATCTCCCAGACCCCAGACCGTGCTTTCCTTACCGGAAATTATACTAGCGGATCCTCTGTTGTCTCTGTCCATATATGGCCCATGCTCGAGCTCCCAAGCCGTACTATCTTCAAAGGTCATAACGCTGGCCGGCCGCATCATGTTCTCGTGCAGTGTTGCCAGATCCCCTAAACCCCATACAGTACTCTGCTTAGCCGCGTCCGCACTTCGAGGCCGACTTTCAGGAAAACTCCGACTACGCTCGCTCGCAGGAAGCCAGTCTGGTCTGCTAGAGCGACGTCCCGAGCTTGGTTGATCCAAGGCGAATTTACTCGAAAATTCTGCACTGCTGCGGGTATCCGGTTGTACACCGGTATCTCTTGCCACCTCGCAGGTGCACCTGCGTTTCCTGCCTAAGCCCCACTCCACCCAACCACCAATCTTATATTCAAGCTCTTTCGCCGTTGTCCGTTCCTTTGCCTCTTTCTTGACACCCAGCCTGCAAAGCTGGACTGTCTCCACAACGGCGCCCCAAAACTTCATGTCTTTCTTCTCCCGTTGTCCTGCCTCTTTAGCTAAAATGTCAAGCCATTTAACCACTTGATTGAGATTCTTATGAAAGGAGGCATCGGGAGGAGCGTTGCCGCGACCGGCTTGACGATTCAAGCGGGATCGGTGGGAGGCGAAGGTTTTTGGTGTATGCTGGAGAATCATCGAGAGCAGGGTTATGAGGACTGTGGTGAGAGAGAAGACATCTGCCGCTTCGAGCTTGCTGTTACGGGGACTGATTGAGGAAGAGATGGAGGTGCGTCGCTCAGTAGGAGCGAAAGTTGTGATGAGCGCATTGCGTGGCCGAGAGGCATTGGTTGAGGAGCCCGAGGAGCCGCTTTTCGAGTTGGTGCGAGTGGAGTTGACTGGTGTCGAAGGGAGAGGGAGGGATGTCGTTCGCTCGGCAGTGGGTGCCTTTGGAATCCTTCTAGAGGTGCGACCACCGCCTGGAAGTATCGTCTTGAGTGCCGCTACTTCGTGAAGCCGGGGTTTGCGCAACCAATTTTCGGGTGCCGCGTGATCGTACAGCTCGCCGTTGTAGGCATTGGGAGATTCGTCTGTGTCGACTTTCTTGAGAGCGCTGTGATCTCCAAGGTATATTTTGTTATTGTGATCGACCGTAATAGTACCAGGGCGGATTGTCTCATGGGTGAAGCCTCTGTCGTGAAGATACGCTAAGGCTGCAGCGAGGCAGTGGGTCCAGGTCAGATATATCTCCCGGCGTTGCGCTTTGTCAAAATTCTTGAAAGCCTTGGGCTGTTCTTCGAGGAAAGATTTCAGGGTATGCTCGGTAGCAGGAGTGAGCAGTACGTAAATGAAGCTTTCCTGCGAGTAAGTTGACCAAATTGATACGAGATGAGGATGGCGGATGGTCGAAAGGGATTTGAGGTGCATGATGAACTGCACTTCATCGATGCTGTTGTCGTCGAAGACGGTGATTTTCTTCCTAGTGTAGAGGTTTCCATGGACGTAAACCTTGTCGTTGGCTTTCGCAATGCCTGGCCTTTTCACAAATGGTTCTACCGGGACGACGGCCCAGTCCCCATAGTCGACATGCCCCCCAGGTTCAAGCTCTTGTATGAGGAAGTTGAACTGTTCGCGGTGGAACTTCCTGTCCAATGTCTCGGACTTGCCGCCGAAGAGGTTGAGCTCCCATAGAGTATCCTGTGATAATGGAAGGTCGTCGTCGGCGAAGGATTTGTCAATGATCTCGAAGACCTTCTCCGGTACGCCGATTACATTGAGGATGAGGAAGAAGCGCGGGCTTCTTTCGAGGATCCAATCAAGATAAGTGTCGTCCGTTAAGCCATCTCCAAATGCAAGCACCCGATGCACCTTGTCCACCAAATCTTTCGATCCCAACTCTCTCTTGATGTATGCCGCATTGACGGTGGTGCTGATCCTTTCATTGGACCACCAAGCAGTCATAGTCGGCCAAACAAGACCATTCCTGCTGCAGGCCGCGTTAAGGTGAAAGCAGATGAGGCGTCGAGCATGTTTTGAGAGGATTTATTCGAGGACTGTTGAAGATCATGCATGTTCCTGGCATGAAGGCTGAGCTGAAAGCAGGAAGCTGTCATAGAGGCAATTGGTTTATGCACGAGGGAAGCGCCCTGTTTGAATTTAGAAGGCAACGCGCATATTTGACCGAAACGTCAAGCTTCCTAGTGAATCGGAAAAAATCACGGCTGTGGTAGGATTAACGGCAGCGTTCGTTGGAGCGAGCTCCAGACCGGTTATCTTTAGCTCGGAATCCCACGCATGCAGGGATTCCCTAATCAGCACGCCGCAGGTCAATCACGGGTCGAGAGCTTCGCTTGGAAAAGCAAGCCATCGACGTCGATATAAGAGCCCAGTCAGCCAAGTTTCCAACGTCCATACAGTGTCATCTCGCCCCTTCATCATCGTTGTTCGTGTCTGCTCCCTGAGCGTTTTTTGGCTTGTCCACGTGGTGGCCTTTCAAAGCTGATTTGAGGTGCTTAACGGCTTCATATCAGTCCGATAGGAGGAGACGGAAGGCAGTGGAAATAGAGTTCGTAGTCGCTCAGACCTCTTCGGCTCTTGCTAATGTCAAAGCCGTTGACAGCAGTGACTTATACGGCTCGTGCTGTTGGCGCGGGACAAGGATCTTAAGGGAGTGACGGTGGACGGCCTGCTGGTTGGCAATTGCTGGGATTCTTTTCTCCAGCCATTCTCCAGAGACCAGAGAAAGATCCATCTCCGCGCCACGCATGATGCGGTCCGATTCCCTCGAATATTGTCTGTAGCTTTGTATGTGTAGCGTTTCGGAGAATCTCCTTTGCCGCCTCTTTAATAAGTGTAATCAGAAGATGGCTGTGGTTGGACGAAGTAATCTTACTTTATGAAGATAAGCATTGCCACTAAGATAAGTAGCGGCTTCCTCTTCCTCGGTTCCCAGTTCCCACATCCCACGTTCCGACGTACCTAAAATGTAGTCGCTACTTTACCTTACTTCCATAGAACCAACGGCAAGCTATTCTGACAGCGCGGGATGTCAGACGGAAGCTCCTGTAGTCCGGAAATCCTCCAAATTTATGAAGATGTCTGTTGGACTGAGCATTGACAGAAATCTCCGTGCTTCAGCTCAAAAGCCTGAATGGAAGATGGCCTGAAAGGAGACGTGGAACACAAGTAGCTGTTCCAAGACAGCGACTTCGACATGGCAAGTTACCTTCTACCTGACGACCTTTTCCAAGGACACTTTACTCCTGCTGGGACGTGCTCATCGAATGCATCCTGTGAGCTAAAGGGTCCTGGAGAAGCATGTCGGCGTCGCCGTACAGCCTGGGATCCTCAAACCCGATGAGTGATCGGATGAGCGATCACAATCCTACTGTCCAAAGGGTGGGACTACCGAGGTTCTCCCATGCACGTCATCCTGCAGGCCCAGGGAAAGCACAGGAGCTCAAAACGGAAGATGTCACGTCACGTCTGCCAATAGAGTGCCGAATGAGGGTCCTACTCCACAGTCACCGCCAAGACCCTGCATTCGTGTATAGCGCATACAGGAAGTCTACCGTGCAGATAGGCGCCGAGGCCTATCCATCCGAAAAGTATGTTCGAAATGAGCTGAAACACTGAAAATCGAACCTGAACAGATGCTCCAATTTGACAAGGGTCAATGCTGTCGAGTCGTGACTCTCGCAAAGGAATATCTTGAAAATGGAAGTGACAATACTTCAATCTCTCCTCACTTCCCATTGAAGCTCAAGACATTCTTGCTCCTGACTGGCACATACACTCCAGAATCCCTAGAACGAAGCCGACTGTGTCCAGTCGATTGTTACATACTGCGCTCAATTGCTGGGAAATCTCTCGCAGGCTGTCGTTGTACACACATGACGGATAGGTTTGCTATCCCTCACAAGCAGGTATCCTCCCTCTGTGACATCAAAGAGAACGAAGAAATTATAGAAGCTCCATTGCCCCAACGTGCAATCTGTGGGCAAACCCCTTCATACTGTATATCCTCTAGCTCCCAGAAATCATTAGAAACTCGCGAACCAGGCGTACGATGGCCTTGCTACCATTGTCAGGCAGACGTTATCACTTCCCAACATGGCGAGAGATGGTGAAGAAAGAAATTCAGCGTGCAAACTCTACACTTTCATTCCTCATAATCTGCAAGTGCAGTCATCAAAATCCACCAGACCTAGCTCGAGCAAGCGTAGATGTTCTATCATCATCGGCTTTTAGCTTCGAGTACCGGCCTACCGCTTAGCGCCTAGCCCTAAACCTCTCGATATACTGGAGCGACATCGTATATTGTAATCCGCGCGACATTCCCCTCCCAGCTTGTGCCATTGCTCTCGAGACTACGGTACTCCCAAAGCGGCTTCACATCTCGCACGGAATATGTCTCTAGTCCGTAGCCCCGGTCTTCAGGATTAAAAAAAGGGGGGGGGGGGCAAGCCCCTTACTCCTCACCACGGTTGTTTCGAATATTCGTAGCGTTCGAACATGGCAGACATGGTAGACAGGCTGTAGTTTCGCCCTCCGGACACCACATCTGTCGGCTCCTTGCCAGTCACATCACGGGGTAAAAAAAACCATTGGGAAGCAGTGTAGAAAGCGATTCGATTGACTAAGGGCCGCCTTTCCAGCTAATGGCACGAATTCCACACCCTCCTCAACGGCGCGTTCCCAGCTTGCAGCAATACCACTGCGTTGCGCTGCACGGGCTTTATCCACCTGCTAAAAAAAACCCCGTGACCCACCCATCGTCCCACTAGAGATTCTCGATCCCGGGGACCGAAGCCATAACATCAATGACTCGCTCCAAGTCCTGCATTCTCAGCGGATTACCCTCGTCGTCGACAGTATGGATGCCAAACTTCTTCACCAAGGCCTGCTCCACCTTCTCCACCCTACTGTTCACCCTACGAAGGAGTGTCTGCGCACGCCCCTGCTCAGAAACGCACTCCATAAGAACACATACTTTCTCATCATGATAGAACGTCTGCAGCTCGATGATACTTTGGAACGCTTTGCTGGCGATGGGCGGACATGTTGTGGGATAGGGATACATAGACGAGTCGCAAGCGTTGGCTAGGGCTCGCTCTGTCTTTCCGCGGTTCTCGGAGGCCTTGTAGAGCGCATCATCAGCTTGCTCAACCATGAGGTCCACATTCAAATTCAAGCTTTGTAGGGTATGGCGGTGAACGAGGAGAGCTTTGTAGGCTTTGTCTTGATGATTTCGGAGTCAGCATTACTCTTTCTGGGGGAACACTGACTCGCGAAACATGTCTAACGAGCAGAGAACTTTTGAGACATGTCTGACGACCCATAAGACAGCATGAAGGGGAAAGAATTGCCTCGGAAAGTATAACGTACAGGTCGGCTTTTTTAACAGAGCTCTTCTGAAGGCCGAAACGTCAATCTGGTCAATTGAAGAGAGCTCTTCATTGGGTATAATGGAAATGGGTTCGATTTTGCCAGAGAAGGGAGGCATGATTGTAGTGCGATGATTTTGGAAAGCTAGTTAGGCTAGAAAGCATCAGCAAGGCATTCAACACTAAAAGGACTAGCTGTAAAGAGATACTTGAGGGTTTTGGTGTTCTTGAGGCTTTAGATTCCAAAGGCCCAGATCCACTGATTTTTGTAGTTCTCCTTCGCGATGGCTGGCTAACTGAGTCTTGAAAAGGTGTTTATGTCCGGCTAGGACACAACACAATCGAATCGGTCTTTCAACACGAATGAAGCTGGTTGCAAGGCACCAACTTGTAGACTCTGCTTTGCTGCAAAGCATCAAATTGTAGTCTTGTTCCCATTTGTTCAGAGACTTGCAGAACATCATTTGCAGACGCGTCGAGTGCAATGAGTGCAATAAGTAAACCTCACTGGCTTAAACCCGGTGGTATGTCCGAAGCCTAGCTTTGTTCAAAACATCACAAACAGTCACCAATATCAAATGCATTTGCCATGAACCGCCCAACATAGACTGTCTTGCACATAGCTCAAATTACTCTCCCTAGCTCTAGCAACTCACGGCATTTGACAATACTCATCGAACAAGGTATATCAAGCCTTTGAGTATCTGACCGAAACCCTTTTCGGACGGTTCATGAAGTAAAATTGAGAAGACAGGAAGCTAATTCTCCTGCAGTCAAACATTACACGAAGCACGAAAAGCATCCTTTACGGAAACAGATATGGCAGAGAAGGAGGCCACCGGAAAGCTCGAAAAGCAAGACCTTGCTTTGGAGCTCGGATGGCAGTATCTTGAGGAAGACAAAGCAGAGAAAAAGGCAGATACAACGCTCTCACATCACAGCATTGATGCACTGCAAGCACTTCGCGAGGACTTTGTGGATACAGACTGGGGACAAGTGTATTACGATACTGGGGAAGATGCAGACGATGAAATCAGCACGGACGATGACTATGAAGAAATCCACCCTCTGAACGTTAGAAAAGCTAAGACCAGTAACGAAAATGACCAAGGTATGCAGTAGTGTCCTTTGAAGTCATCGTTTTTGCCGCCGCCGAGGGAATCATGTCCTTTGAAGTCGTCGTTTTTGCCGCCGCCGAGGGAATCAAGGCTGAAGGTTCACTTGTTAGTTCTTCTGTCAACAGCTCATCCTGAGCAAACCACACAAACCACTGCACATACGCACAGTCGTGTGGAGTGTACAGACAACTTTGCTCAAGCTCAAAAGAGTAAGTTGGACTCCTTTTCACGAATCTGGACAATCCTGGCAGGTCAGGCAGCTCACACAAAACTGCAGATTCTGCTGAGGCCGGTCACACAGCACCCATAGCTTTGAAACACAACTTACCTCGAGCTCCCACACCGTATCCTGAACCTCTCTCGGTGCAGCAAGTTTCCGACCTTCTACATCCTTCACCACCGCTACGTCGCCGCAAAGGCTCGATGGCTTTAGGAAAGAAAATATCCGATAGCGCTACTGCTCATAGCATGATGTCTAAGACAGAGGAAACCCAGGAAGCGCTCTATAGCAATGATCAGGACCGCGCTGCGGTGAATAACAAGAACAGCGACGCATATCTAACCCCTACTCATCGTGGCAAGATGTCCAAAGCACATGACAACCAGGACCCATCCTCTGGTGAAGACCAGGGCAATGCAGCAGAGATTGGCCAGAGCAGCGAGACTTCCACAAACTCCAAAAATCACGTCGTGAAGCACAAGACCAGCGGCTTTCCGAAGGCGGACGCTGTGTTGGGTTATGGCGAGGAAGATAAGATCACCCCAAAGAAGACGATGACAAACCTGATCACATCGCCCAAGGCTAGTCACGAGAAAAAGTCCTTTAGAAAATTATTCCATCGCAAGGAAAGCACGGAGTCTACAACTCCCCCTTCTTCTTCGGCAAAGACTGCAGCTCGTATGACAATCTCGGCACCGACCCTCGTTGACGCCTCACCCAATGCCAAAGTTCTCCTAAACTCGGCACACCTCCTAGTTGACGCTTCACCAGACGGCAAGAATGTGGTGAACTATTCGAGACCAATTGCGCCTCATTCCTCGAGCGATGTATCCAATGGATCACCCGTTGTACGTAGCCGTTCAGAGGCTGTATTCGATCGTTCGATTCCATTTTCGGGTCCGTATACAAGCCCTGAAGGACTTACTGACAAGTCTGGAAATATCCCAGTCGATCTCAACACCTCATTGGTGAGTAAAGCTCTGACCTGAAAACTCCCAATGCTGATAAAGTGCAGATCTATGACCATTCCAACGCTTCAGCTGTACGCGGACACCAAGCTGCTGATGAGCGTGGTGATATTCCCGAGACCTCAGCTACCGAGAAGAATCCAGACGCCAGTGACAGTGACTCATTCAACCCATCAGATTACTCCGGCGATGAGAATAGTGTCCAACAAGCAGTAGCGATGCCAATTGTCTTCAGCGGAAAAGCCAAGCTTGTTGACGTCCGCCCACCTCGTGGAACCAATACTGCAGCTTCAGGCAATCGATCAGGCGTGGGTCTTGCTATTGCTCCTGGTACAGCACAAATCACGGACCATGATGCTGAGGCCCTGGGAGCGCAGGATGCCGACCGTTACTGCCGCAATGCCATGACTTCACAGACTCGTCCAACCACCATCACTACGGACGATCCATTTATCGATCCAGCGTACCAGAAACTGCTGGCAAAGCCGGCGAACGAGATCGCTGCCAAAGAAATGGCGAGGATCAAGGCTGCTCGCGAGGCTGAAAACATGGGTGGTGGCTTAATGGATAGGATGAACGCTTTGCTCGCCAAGAGTAATGCGAAGCCAGCAGTCAAGAGCACCGGCGACGCAACCACCGGTCCTCGTACCACCACGAGTGAGAGTCTGTTGTCGAAGATGCGTGCGCTTGCGAAGAAACCCAAGAAAGGGAAAGAGCAAGAGGACAGCGAAGAGGAAGTCGTCCGTAAAGTCAAAGCTGAAAAGGAGCGTGGTCTCCGTGAAGAAAAGGAGATCAATGCGATAATCAAGGCCAAGCTGGCCACGAAAGATGCAGCTAACGGGGGTGTCCGTGGTGCTGGAATCCCACGTATCGACTACGGACCGCCCAACCCGCGCACCGCACTCGGTGGATCCGGCCCCACAGATGAAGAACGTGCCCATGCTCGTACCCTCGCAGACCGTCGTGCAGCAGGTCTGGCTACTGGTCATATTCCGAATCACAAGGATAATACTACAGCTCGCGGACAGTTCGAGGGATACTAGATGTGGCTTTTCACCATACGTTGCGGGCGCTTCTCCGGTCTGTAGCCCCTTGTTTGCATGCCCATGGAAGCGAAAGGCCGCTGATCCTCGTGACAGGCTCGCTACTGTACTGGTTGGATCGATTGTGGTTGGATCCATCCATATGTTCTCCGTTGTACTCGATCGCTGTGTGCAGTTGCTGGGCAAGGCCCCATAATTTTCTTACCGTTTCCAAGCTGCAACTCGTCTTTCTAAGGCGTATGTACCTAGCTCCTAAGCATAGTACTCAATAGAATGAATAAGTCAGAATAGAATAGCAGAAAGGCGCGGGGATTGATGGATTGTAGTCCGGAGAAGATTTTGCTCTAGTGTAGATGTAGCCTAGTGAATCTGCTTATCGATAAGCCTAGATCGCTCTACTTTATGCTCGCACCTGCAGATGCACTATTCGCTCCTCAACATCAAGAAACTATATGTGGGAAAGATACTGCCATCCTCCAGGATTTGAAGCCTATATACCAGGATCATGGGCAAACCACGGGTAGGATGCACTCTATATGATCAAAAAGATGGGTTTCTAAGCCCTACAGATGATAATTTTGATACGCCACGCCCAATCAGAAGGCAATAGTACGTCTAGAAGCCTCTTGTACGTGACGAAGAAGCTGATCTGGGCCAGAGAATCGAGATATCCACCAAACCGTCCCCGACCACCGCGTCAAACTTACTCAAGATGGCTGGAAACAGGTACCCTCCTTATGCTCCATCTGGTCCCCAACCCTTCTTCCACAAGCTGATTCTTCCAGGCCGATGAAGCAGGCCAAAAGCTGCGCTCTCTCCTCCGCCCTTCAGACACCCTCCACTTCTTTACCTCTCCCTACCGAAGAACACGAGAAACAACCGAAGGAATCCTTAATGCGCTCACATCTCCCGCCCCAGATCACAAACCCTCCCCTTTCCCACGACACACGATCAAGGTGTATGAAGAGCCCCGATTACGAGAACAAGATTTTGGGAACTTTCAACCCGACTCGGCAGAGATGAGTCGGATGTGGCAGGAACGTGCGGACTACGGACATTTCTTCTACAGGATACCAAATGGTGAATCGGCGGCCGACGCATACGATCGAGTCTCAGGCTTCAACGAATCATTGTGGCGAAGCTTTGGGGAGTCAGATTTTGCTTCCGTCTGCGTACTCGTCACTCACGGCCTCATGACTCGAGTGTTTCTGATGAAATGGTACCACTTCAGCGTGGAATACTTCGAAGATTTACGGAACATGAACCACTGTGAGTTTGTGGTTATGAAGCTGGATGAGGATAACAAAAAATATATACTGCAGAACCAGCTGCGGACATGGTCGGAGTTGAAGAGGGAGAGGGCGAATTCTAGGACCAGCATAACGGAGCCGGAGAGTCCAATCCCGGTCAGGAAGAAGTGGGGAGGGTGCTTACAAACAGACGGGGACCGGGGTGATGATTTTGCAAGGAGGCAGATGGCAAGAAGGAGGAAAGACACGAAGGAGCTTTTCGAAGACGTCGAAATGGAGCACGGTAATAAAGAACTTGGGAATGGGAAGAAGGCCGATGGTAGTGAGAGCGAGTATTCAAGGGGCAGAGAAGACCGAACCCAAGCCCCGGAGAGAGAGAACTCACAGACCGACGCCGCAAACGTCCTCCTAGCCACACCAGGCGCTCGAACACGCATCGTGTCCCCCAACCGCCTCGAAATCCTCAAAGGTGGCCGCGATGGCGGTGGTTCACGCTCTGGCGCCGCGAGTCCCAGTCTCTCTAGCCTTGACGACTCGGAAACCGAAGCGAAGGAGCGCATGAGATCGTTGCCTCTTCGAAGAAGTTTGGCCATGGCCTTGAATGGCGAGCTGGATGGTGATGGGGAAAGGGTCAGGGCTGATGCGCTTGGGGATCAGAGCGATGTAGAAGATGAAGAGGAAGAAGAGCACCGAAAGGAGGTTGCGAAGATGGAGGCGAAGGATAAGAGTTTTGAGGGAGCTGTTTTGTGAATGATTCACGCTATTATGACATTGCATCGCTCGAGCGACTGGTTGGGGCATTGCACTGAGGGGAAGCAATATATGTAGACTATGCTGAGAGATCAGCGTCGTTCATACAATGCCATGTTCTATGCTGGATATCCGCTTTTAGTACATTCGTGCAATGAAGATCTATGTCAACAGATAGTACTAATCATCACCACCTCCTCCCATATTGCCTCCTGCTTGCTTTGCAGATTTTGCACTGCAAATATCATCGACTCTCAGGAGTAGACAAGCTGACTGTATGTAGAATGTCAGCATACCAGAAGTGCAAGAGGAAGAGGAACAGGAACAGGGCCACATACCTCAACAGCAGTCTTAATACTCTGCACCTTGACCGCCTCCGGCTCCCACACTCCATACTCCCTCATATCAACCAAACTTCCCTTGTCCCCATCAATACCCCACGTACTCCCACCCTCCGCATGCTTCGCCCTTAGTTTTGTCAGCACCCTCACAGGACTGCTCCCACTGTTCTGTATCAGTGTCCTTGGGATGACCTCCATAGCCTCGGCGACAGCCTTGTACGGCCACTGCTGCACGCCCTCCACCGCCTTCGCCATCTGCGCTAATCGCACCGAGACAGCCATCTCTGTGGCACCACCTCCTGGAGACAGTCGTGGGTGGAACATCACGTTGCGGGCGACGGACATAGCGTCTTGGAGATTTCGCTCGATTTCGTTGAGAATGTCTTTTGAGGGGCCACGAAGGAGAATTGTGCAAGCTTTAGGGACCTTGCATTTTGTGAGGAAGGTGAAGTACTCGTCGCCGATCTTCTCAATCTCGAAGAGCCCGCATTGTGTGCCTACGTCTGATTCATGTAGGTCGTCGACACGGTTGACGATGGTGGCTCCTGTGGCACGAGCTATGCGGTTGTTGTCTGTCTTTCTGACACGTCGAAGAGCGGTGACGTTCGCTTTGACTAGGAAGTGCTGGGCGAGGTCCGAGACTCCTTTCTCAGTGATGACAAGGTCTGGTTTGAGGGAAAGGATGGCGTCGGTCATGATCTTTACTTGCTCTTCTTCTATTTGCAGGATACGATTCCAGTCGTCTTCTTTGCTGATCTCAATGTTCGTTTGCGACTCTCCTTTCTTGTATTCGAGAGGGCAATCTAGGAGGATAACACGAGGATTCTTGATGAGGCGACGCATCTTAGGATGAGTGATGTCTTTATTCAGCATGACTCCGTCGAGAACTTTGCTATCTTCTATCTCGCCTCCCGGTATCTTCTCTACTTTGGCATATCGTTTTATGTCAATCTCCTTCTTGCCGCCGCCAGCCTCATGGGACACTATCCGGACAGCCTTGAGTGCGAGATTGCACATGAGTTCTGACCAGCGGGAGACGAACTTCGTGCCAATGGAGGAGGATATAAGTTGGTACATGGCTTTGTCGTCGTTGATATTCACGGGCAAGGAGATTTCTTCGACAATGTCGAGGGCGTCTGCTAGGGCTCGTTTGAAAGCGGCGATTATGACGACGGGGTGAATGTTTCTTTCCAGTTGAGGGAGAGCTTGTGCAAGAATTTCACCAGCTAATAGCAGTCAGTTAAAGCAAATTCGAATCTGTAGAACCGCGTACCTAGTATTATGACCGTTGTTGTACCATCCCCGACCTCCTCGTCTTGTGTCCGACTTAATTCTATCATGCTCTTGGCCGCTGGGTGAGCCACCTCAATCTCTCGTAGTATGGCATGACCATCGTTTGTGAGCACAATGCCTCCCATAGGATCTAATAGCATCTTCAACATGGCCTTGGGACCAAGACATGATCGTATTATGTCTGCCACACTGCAGCCGTTCAGTATCCGCTTCCAACTCGCAGTCCAGTCTTCTCTTGCTTACGTCTTTGCTGCTGTGATATTTGATAGTTGTGCTTTGCGGCCCACTTGTCTGTCGCCGGCCTGCGTGTCTACAAAAAGTCAGCTTGCATCCTCTTATGTTGGAAGCTATCTTTGGAGAATCTACTCATCACCACCACCGGAGCCTGCATCTTGATATTATGGTCAGAATAACGCTTCAAAGATTGACATGTAGATCTAAGACTGCTGTTCAATCTTTTGTCAAGAGCTTAGAAAGAGTTCTTGTGTTTAGACACCTAGATTTGTGGTCCACTTTCAAAACTTCGACATGTATCAATTTCTTGGCGCGTTTCCCGAGACTATTTGGACACCCACTAGATTGATATAGCCACCTCCGTTTCCACCTTTAGTTGTCTTGCTTCGAGTCTTTCAGGTTGAGATGGCCGTGCTTTTGAGACCGTATGCCAGGATGCAGTCCATATGTGTGGGTCATGCATGATCGCGGGTTAATGCCCATTTCAGCGCCAGGCCGACATGCTTGCCTCTTGTCATTTTCGGAGGTATCCAGCTCCGCATACAGAATACTTGATACCAAACTCTTTAACCTCCGCCAGTATGGTGCTTACCCGTCCGATCAACATTGTGATGGACCACCAGCATTTCCACAATCCCACTCATTCTATCTGCATTCCTCTTGTCTCTACTTTGTCGAGGCCTCTACTACAGAGCTCTCAAGACGCCTTCGGGAACACTCTGCTTCCGCCAGTATACCCTCAGGAGCCTTTGCTCCCTTCAGTACCCTTCACTTGAACCTAGGAATCAGCATGAGCCTTCCGACACCATATCGCTTTGCCAAGGCAAAACGATTGCTCGGAAGCCTTGATCTCACCTCTTTGACTAGAGAGCTGTCGAAGCCTTCCTTGGAGAGCGCTCAATTAGGGAAAGATTCCCAGGGGTCGAGAGGTCATTGTCACTCTCTTCAGCAACCCCCATGACTCAGCCTTTGCCCTTACGCTCTCCAGTCTTGTCGCTGCTCCAATAAGGGGTCAAGACATCTTGTTCGGTGCCCTTCTTGCTCAGTGTTATGATTCTACGTCTCGTGTTACCCACTTGCACAACAACCTGACCATCATTTTCGCAGCTGCTGGATCATTCGATCCTTCTAAAGAACGTCTATCTCGTCCTATTCGATTAATATCAACGGGACTTCCCCTCCCAAAAGTTGCTCTCATCCGCACAACTTACCTTTCTTCCGCAGAACTTGCCCCTTCTCCCATCTAACCAGGGAAATGGGAGCAAGAGCGCCCACCGAAGATCGATTCTCGAGATCTCGTCCGTATTTTTAAGGAAACTCGTATGGGCAGACAATATCAGATTTGAAAGGGTGAGTATATGTTCAATAAGACTCTATAGGCGCATTAGCAAGGATGCTCAGAGGCACTACTCTCCAAAGATTTCAGTGTGGCTCTTCCTTGGGTTGTCATGGAGCTGAAAGGTACATAGTCTAGGTACCACGCCGCGATTATCATGCTCTCGCGGCCGCTTTTTACATAACTCTAGCAGATTCCTCGTGTACAGAGATTAAGTATGTTTCCCCAAGGGCGAAAACTGAAGTCGAGTATCGGGGGTGGCTGAGATCTCTCAAACAGCAAATCTTGTGAGCTCGAAAGTGCGATGTATTAGGGGTGCTGGATAATGCATAGCTGTTGATGGTCTAATCTACGCATTGTGTCTACACTGGCCGAAAAGGCTGATTGCCGCTTAGACTGGGAGGAAAGAAGTCTGAAAGTAGCTAAGATACTCTGTAAGTGACCCGATGCCTTCAGGCAAACAGCCACTACGCACCACGCTCCCTGCCATCCTCAATATCTTTTCTGCGTGTCTCGTTTGGCTTGAAATGTAAGGGAATCTTTCCGCGACGTCCACCATTTCGCGTGACACCGTTCAGTCCATGACTGATTTACATCCAGATAGAAAGACTTGAATCAGACACTTGAATTGAGCCTGTTCCTTGAAAAATGCTCAAAGCGGTCATCTGTAGTATTCGGTGCACTATCACGTTGAAACGAATTCTGCTTGTTTTCCAGAAGAGAACAAGGTGAAAACATCGAACCTCATAAGTACGCCAGCCCCATCGTATCGAACCCTTCCGCAAAAGAGGATCTGATCTCAGACTTATTTTCAAAACAGCAAAACACTTGCACTTGTCAGCCTCGTACGAGGGTGGTATGCTACACAATACTCCGAGAATTTTATACTTTGGAGATGAGCGAATTTTGGATCAAGTGTCTGCGCAGCTTGATGTATAGATTTAACAATAAATACTGTGGATATAATGGCCACGCATCTGCTCGAAAAACAAGAGATTTTGGACCAGACTCCTTGAGAGAAATTGGTCCTGTTTGTTGTTGATTGACGTGGAGCGAGGGTTGAAAAATAAAAACGGAAGGGAAGAAAAAAAAGGAATTGAACATAACTTTCATTGAACTGGGGAACAAAAGGAAAATCACCCGATAGGATTAGAGCAGTCAGCTTTCAAATCAGTAGAGACCCGTAGAGACTGTGCTCCGTCTATGTGGATGCAGACCTATCGAACATGGCCTCCATGAGTGGCAGTGACGGGACCAGGCTCAAGGTTGACGACTCTTGTGAACCGACAGGTCTTTGCCTTTCAATGTACCACTCGGCCATTTTTGCATGTCAATGCATACCCCTTAGTATTTTTGCCAATGCCTTCAAACCGCATTCTCAACAATTGTGATTGGAATCTTCGTGCTCTGCAAATCAAAGTCTTCAATTTTATGCTTTGGTTTTCGGATTCTTGAACAGCCTGGCGTTCAATTCAAGAACCGACTCTCACATATCAGGGAAACCTACTGTGACAAGTGACGAGCCAGCACTGTTAACGCCACATCTACCTGCTTCGACCCATTGAATATCTCGTTCCTTGACTCCCAGGGTGCTTTGAATCAAGCCTGAAGACCACATTGCTCACGTTCAGCTGAATACTCTCAGTCTTTCCCTCCTCGTTCCTCATACCTCATATCTCATGCGTACAAACTGGGCTACAAGTGTCTCTCCTGAGCCCGGACCCCGAACACCCTGAACCTCTTCACTCCGCCATCAGGAATAATCGTCATCTTCATATGCGTAAACGCCCTTCCCTCCACACTCTTCAGCAGTCCATCCGCAAACACATGCTCTTTATCCTTCTCACACCCCTGCATCCCTACAACCTCCACCCACCTCTCATCGTCCCCACTCACCACCTCCTCTCCCTCCGCATCCAGGCCCTCAACCCTCACTCCTTGCGGAAAGTTGCCACGGAAATGCATCGTATCGATCATCAAACTCCTCACCCGTCCCCGAGCTCCCAGCTTGACAACGACCCAATCGGAGTGCCCACTCTCCCTACTCCTCTTGGTCTCCCACCCATCTCCCATATCCACTCCCCGTCCCGGCATTAGTAGATTCCCTGCCTTCCCGAAGTGCTCATCGCTGAACCCAACGACTCTGCCGCCCATGAGTGCACTGCTCAACTCCACCTCCTCGGATTCATCCTTCGGCCAAACCGGTACCGCCACACCGTAGAGTCGAAACCTGGCGATGCCCCCATCGGGAAGCATGCACAACTTGACATGTGTCACTTCCCCAGTCCTTTCGTTGACAGTCCACGCCTGCCTCCTGCTAGCTCCACATCCCCTTTTCCCCAGCAACGGCCTCCAAGCGCGATACCCAGCCTCTATCACCCTCTCATCCGCCCCCTCTCCCGTCTCGTAGGTGCCCCAAACTTCCACACCCTCGGCATGATTCCCATCGAAGAACGCCGTATCTATCTCCACACCCCTTACCATCCCCGCCGCAGGGCCGAGGCGTATCACGACCCAGTCAGGAGGAGAGCGATTATGCCGACGGGTTTCCCAGCCATCGTACCAGGCGCCCGATTCGACGAAGTGGCCGGGCCGACGGATGGGGTTTGCGGGGTTGAGGAGGTTGGAAGCCGAGGCGAAGAACTCGTCGGAGAAGGAAAGGATGCGGGAGGTCAGAGGGGCGGAGACAAGGTCTGTGATTGTCAGTGATGGTTCCAGGCAGCCGGTGTGTACAGGACTATCGGACAAGGAGTCGCTAAGGGGTGGAGCCCCGGGAGATGGAGAGGAGGGAGCTTTACCAATGCACGTGGTACCGAAGGTACTGTCTATTTGGTCCGGCGGGATGAAATCGGTGGGGGTGGACTGGATGTCCTGAATTATTTCGGGGGAGAGTGCTTGGATTTCCATTTTTGGAGTGGTTCAAAATTTGTATAGGACATGTAACCCATGTTGTTGAAAGCGAGTGTCTAGAGAATTGGCTAGGTTCAGGTTTAGCCGTCATCAAATCGTTGGCTCGCCAGAATGCAAGTCATTCTACGTAGCACTTTGAAACATCACTAAAGCATCATTCTCTGTTTAGGGAGTACTCTCTATCAATACAACAATTGACCACCCTTCCGTGAGGCTTTCTAGAGCACGATCGTCCTCCTCACTACGATCCTCCTCGAGGATGGTCCTAATTGCTCGAACTTCCACAAGTTGATCTGATAAGATGCACTGCTCCCATGTAGATCCGTTCGGCTTCGGGCACCGAGATGAGAAAACCCTCACACGTCACTTGCTGTATTACCATTACCATGTACAGATCATAATGTCATCATCGTCAATCGTTCAATCATCAAAACTGCTAGTCAAATATGCGGCACACAAAGCCGCACAACCACCTGCTCTCAGCACCCACCCTGTCCCATCCTGACTTCCCAAGGATTTTGCAAGCCCGAAGATAGCACTACAGGCCAAAGCTGCTATAATTTGCGGCGCTGATATGGCCACATTATGCAGACCCATAATGGCACCAGCTTGAACTTCCACACCCATTGTCGACATCTCGTCGTCTGGAAAACCGTTGGTGCGGGTATTGAATGACTGGCGGGCAGCGAGCTCACTTCCGATGATAGCGAACGGTGCCCAGTGGGTGAGTGCCCACGAGAGGCCCACAGAGGCGACTAGAAAGGTGGCAGCTGCTTGTGAGGTCACCATCATGGTGGCAAACATGGCCAGAGCGAAGAAGATGTGAGCGCAGGTCCATGCTTGAGATATCCCAAATTTTGCTGTAGGCTTCCTTGCAGCGAGGCCAGGTTTGATAGAGACTCCCAAGAGTATCGGAAGTAACGAATTGGTAGCAAAAGCCACAATGGAGAAGAGGAAATTGGCAAATGTGCCATAACGAATCGCGTCCTCAGCGATACTAGTTTCCTTGCTCATAGCTGTCAAATCTGCAGACATCATAGACGTAGCATCTATGGTCTCTATGGCCACTAAAGACTGTCTAATGGCGATAGCGTGATTGGCATCTGCAAGTTGTTAGCGACGGGAACATTAGTCGGCGCAAAGTACTTACAGATTTCGCCCACATAGCTGCGGTGAAAGAGGCACTAGTCAGCTTGCAATCACTTTCAAGCTTGTCCATGACAGTAAAGAAGCCTTACGTGGTTGAATAGAACAAGAACGGAAACCACCCTATCCAGGCGCAGAACTGAATGTGACACACTTTGCGGATTTTTCTAGGCATGAATCGATATGTATGGATCAGGTCTCTGAATACCACCCCAACTCCGGTTCGTTCAAGTCTGACTGGTAGCGAGCGTGCACAATAATCTTCTCTGACAGTGCAATTTATGCTTGTTGTAATTGCCAGTGCCAATGAAGCAATCAGACACAAGCATTGAAACTGCGTCAAACCGCTCAGTCTAAAGAACTCAGGTAATACGGTAAATCCGCAAAGGTAGCCAAAAGCGTTACCGATACCCATCAAAACACTGGTCCAAGCGGCGGCTTGGGTCTGCTGGTGGGTGGGGCAGTTTTCTATGATTAGTGTACGCAGACCAGCCTGAATAGGCTGAATAGATACATTCATGGCGTATATCAGGGTGATCGCTAGCAGTATGATCAACATCCGTGGGGGCTGGCCCTGAGTATCTCCACTGAGAGGTGTCGTAAGGAAAGCAAGGGCCAGGGTGGCAATGATGACGCCGGCCGTGCCGCCGACTATGAAAGGTTTTCGCCGTCCCCAGCGACTGCGGGTTCGATCACTCAAGATCCCCACTATCGGTTGAAATACAACTCCACAGAGAGGAGCCGCCAGCCAGACAAGAGCGGTGAACGACTTGGAGAGTCCTAGAGACACTAGGTACGGCTTGAAAGCAGTCAGTAGTTGGTCAGAAAGGATAGATGGCATGAAATTGGAACATCCGTAAGGCCACTTACCGCACCATTAGACCTGACGACAGACCAAATGACTTGTAGCCTGCAGAATATTAGCATCGGAACGCTCACTTATGGAGACGGGCTCATGTTTACCCAGCGCCACCGCAGGTTAAGACGAGAAGGTAAGGCAGTGTCCTTGAGACTTCTGAGCCAGTATCTTCAAGCAAAAGCGCTTCTGTGGTTGCCATTTGCTCTCTAATATGATCATCTTCATGACGGTCAACATAGCTCTCGTCCAAGTCATAGCTTAGCTCAGTCATCGTATACCAAGTCGATTGAAGGGATACACTCCGACTGCACTTGCATCGCTACTCTCATGGGCACATCATAAACAGCTTGAAGAGCCTGTAGGCATTCTAGACGTGAAGTCCTTAAACGGAGGTCAAGAGACACTCCGGGTGCGCGAGGAATTGGTACACAGTGTCAGAGATCAGAATCGAAGCTTGAGAACGATGGCGCTAGTATACACTAGTGATTCGGCCCGTTACCTTAATGAGGCAACTCACAATCAGCCGGCACATGCGGCAGCAGGTGCCGACGGCTAGCAACTCTGCCCAATGGCCTTGCCCTTGCCCTTGCCCTTACCCACAAATCTCTTAGACTCTATCCTACAACACCGACTCAGATCATCAGGTGGACGACGCCGAGCGCTTCGCATTGTGGCATGTACTGCAATGGTCCTCGAGACTGTTCGTCTACGGATGCGGAGGCGGGTTGTTCCTGCGCTATCCCTTCGCCGCAGGATGCGAGGACCTCGGGGGTCGAGTGTCATTGCGTCGGTGTCTGTGTTTCTTGTGTAGCACAATTTCGCTTGCAGGCCGAGCTGTTGCTTCATCGCTCTGGTCAGTGGTCGGAGACACGAGGCAGGATGGTAAGGCCGTCCCGCAATACTTGGATGAGAATGTCATGCCGTATCAATGTGCCTGCAACTCAACGTATATTTCGGGCGCTTGCTGTGGGTCGAAGGATGGGATTGTACATCCTTCTGAGGCAATCTAATGTCTATGATAGTCAACACCCAACTATATATCGACATCAATGTCCCCTTCACTAAGCCCCTTTGTTCCTCCGCCCCTGCACACATTCCTTATAGAAAGTAAAAGACAAACAGACGAAAAATGCGCGCTGTCCCTTGTCCTGGCATTGCCGACGTGTACTACTGAGGGGTGATGACCCGAGTTGTGGCGAGCGTTTGGGGGAGGTGTCTGAGCTTTGGTAATTTTTGCCGAGCACAAGCAAAGAGAGCCCAGGTCGCCAAGACGCAGAATATAGAGTCGCTTCTCTGCTTACGCCCTACCTACGGCGGACGACGGCTGACACTACGACAAAACCAAACAAGAATTCTCTTTTCGTTTTTTTCTTCGCGATTTCTAGTAACTCTCTTCAAAATATTCTTTTTGAAATATTCTTAACTCTTCGAGAGGTACTTTTTGAGGCACTCTTTAGGGGCTACTCTCCGGGGTACTCTTCGGGGTACTCTCCGGGGTATTCTCCGGGGTACTCTCCGGGGTATTCTTCCGGGTATTCTTCGAGGTACTCTCCGGGGGTACTCTTCCGGGTGCTTACGACGGATATTTTACGAAGTTCTTCGCAAAAAAAAAAAAAAAAAAATTACGGGACTTTCCGCGGAATTTCCCGCGAATTCTTTTTTCGCACTTCGAATATTTTCTCGAGTGATTTCTCGAGTAAATCTTTAAGAAACCCCTCGAGTAACCCTCTAAGTGCTCTCTAAAATACTCTTCTCGAGTATCTCCGAAAGTATATCCTCGAATAATCTCTTAAATCCCCCTTAGATACCTCATAGAGAATCCCCTAAAATATTTCTCTAAAATATTTCTTTAAGAAATCTCTTCAAATTCTCAAAGTCGCGGGAAGAAAAAAATTGGGTTTGGTTTTGTCATAGTGTCAGCCCTCGTCCGCCGTACTACCGGCTATCAGCGGGTGACAATGAAGGGTCCTGTATGAACGTCCTCATTCCGGTATATCTGCTCCCCGGTAGAGCAGTTTCAAGAGTATGGAGTCAAAAGCGTTGCGCTTTTTCCAAGATATGGCAACGAGAAAGAGGATGGGGCTTCTAGGCGAAAGAGCAAGGTATCTTCCGGAGACGAATTTGGGACAACAGGCGGAGGGAGTTTCTTCACTCAACTAGCTATGAGGATAGAGTTGGAGAATTACCTGTCACCGAATGGACGTACGACAAAGTCTTATTTCTGTATTCATAGTAAGACAGCACCCTACCAATGCGACCTGTCTTTTGAACACCCCGAGCCAGTCGATCTCCTAGGTCCAAAGTCCCTTGGATGTTTCAACTCCGCCGCAATGTAATGTATATTTCATGATCGTCATTTCCCCCGTCAGCTCTCGTCACTCGGCGTATTCCAGTCCTTTTCTTCAATGAAGCTTCCATTGCCATTGCCACTGAGGTCCAGCTTTGCTAGGAACTCTGGTGGCACCGTTGGTATGTACCTTCTTTCCCTCTCCCTGTTCACGCCACCGTAGCCCGCACCGTAGCTAAGTCGCATGTCAACGGTCGTTGGTAGAGAGAACTGCAGCATGTGGGCAGGGTCCATCAACAATCTTTCAGATGGAGGCTCCTCTTCCTCTGGCTGGATCACTCCATTAAGCTCGTCAGGTGATGAAGTAGAGAGCGCATGACCCCCAGCCTTATCGAGTGACTCTGAATTGTTCTGTGAAGGTGATGGTGGTGGCGGATGTGACTGCCTCTTTGAGGCTTTATCGCGCTCCCGCCGCATCTGCTCCCACCGCTTCTGCGATTCTGTTTGCAGAGTGACCAGCCGCTTGCGGGCTGGTTTGGGCAAGGTTTTCTCCTCTTTCTCGTATCGATAGTGACTAGTTGAATGGAGTAACTGATGGGGTGTGAGTCGTGTCATTTGTTTTATAGTATTCTCCAGTGAATCTTGCGAGTCTGTCGAATAGTCAAGGCTGGAGAAGCATTGTAGCCATTGGAGAAGTTGGATGACAGGTGTAAGATGTTTCCGAGCCGCGTCGACTGTATTTTCGCCTGATGTCGAAAGCGATCCATTCTCGTAGTGCTCCGGCGATCGGTTGTTCGTCCTCGCCCAGTCTTCGAGGACGGAGATGTTCATCCGGATCTGCATTGCTTTCGTTCTCGCCAGGTACATCTTATTCGATAGTATGTGATTGAATAGCTCCGCTCCTATCCAATAGAAGAGCTGCCCAAGAATTTGAGAGGTGATGACGGAGTGTATGTCGTAGAGATCAAGCACGAAGAGCGTCGAGGACAAAAGAGATGCGACGTTCCTCGGTGATAATTGAGCTCTCTTGTTCGGTGGCGGGGGCTTGTAGCTCACCGGTTCTGGTTGAGCCTTGTTCTTGGATCGGAATATGTTCCATTCGCCTGCAAATTCGAGATGATCAAATGGAATGGTCTCGTGATCAAGAATCGCGCTCTTCAAGACCTTGTCCATACGCCGTTCTGCGTCTCTGATAATTAGAATGAAGATCTCATTGATGAGCTCTACTAGCTGGACCTGGAACTCAGTAGTCGCTCCTACAAGGCCAGCATCTTTCTTCAGATAGTGTAGCAGCAACGTAGCATTCGAAATCCAAAAGGCTAGAACTGTCATATCCCACTGGTGCCGCTCAACCTTGATATTAATCTTATCCATAGCTGAGAGCAAGAGGGTGGCCAAGAGCTCACGGCTTCCATGATAGTGGGCGTATCGCGCTGCAAGAAACAGAACATTTGCCGGTACCGGCTTTTGCGATGGCGACCGCTGCGGTGTCATGCTTGTGATGATGATGTCCAATATTGGCCCCAACTCATTTTCTTGGAAGACGAACATCTGGTCGTTTAAACACCTATCCCACACGAAATCTTGTTGCTCGTCACTTTCCTCAGGTGACTTTCGCTCTATTAGCTCTTTCATCAGCAGAGAAGTCTACTGCGACTTACTTCCGGCCTTTCGTCCATGCCCAAGCTTGATAAGTCGACTTCTAGATTCATTGAGCTTTCCATCATCATACGCCTTTTCATCTCGCTTTCCTCCATCTCTTGCTCGAACCTATCCTGGGAGAAGCCATTGTCGTAGAAGTCATCGACGCCCACATCTCCTATGCCATACCCATTCTGGTGTAGAAAGTCTGATATTTCGCTGTTCGGCGCTGCGAAGTCAAACGCTGTCCGCCCCGAAGATGACTTGATCGTTGACGAGGCACCGTGGTCCAGCAGCATCTTCGCAATATCCTTATGCCGATTTGTCATTGCCCACATCAGAGGTGTCCACTGATTCTTGTCTTGCCTATCCACTTCTGCTCCAGCGTTCAGAAGGGCCAAGACCACATCCTGGTGACCCTAGAAATAATGGAATAAATCAGCGCGTGACCCCAACGGGAAGATTTCGAACACGGACTCACAAAGCAGCTGGCGTATATTATGGGTGCCGTCCCTTCTTCGTCCGGGCCATTGATGTCGACAAATTTGCGCGCAGGACCCCGCAATACTCTGCCGACCTGATCTACATCCCCGTTGCTAGCAGCGTTGTGCAGTGACTTCTGTAGCATAGCCTTCTTCTCTGTGTCGGAAAGCTTCTTATCTGCAGCAATTGCCTCTTCGTCCCCAGCAGCTGATCCATCCTCCCGATGTGCAGCTTGGGCAGCTAACATCTCCATCAGCCTGGTATCGTTATCCTCGAGCCGTTGCGTAGCATTGTCGCTATCGTCGCGATCGTCATCTAGTGAGAGATTGAAAGCAAGCGGTTGGGCAGGCACGGGACTAGTGAGGAACTGCGATTGGCCTAATCGGTAAATTAGCGATCTCCTGCATTCTTCAGGAGCTCATAGCTCCGTGAGGCAACAACTACCTTGCCAAGCGTCGTACATCTCAGTCTCCCCAGCATAATGACGGATTGGCTGCCTATCATCGAGTGACTTGGGTAAGTCGGACGGCAGAGGTCGATGCTGCGGTACCTCCTCTGCGTCCTCAAAGCCACCCTCATCATCGGAATGCTGATCCCCAATGTCCATTGTGAGAAACGTCGGCGCCCCTCATCAGAAGCTGCCTAAGTTGTAGGTCATGGCTTTTCCAGCATGCCTTCTCAGGAGGCTGATGTCCGGGAGAATTCTTGATGATTCCAATCAGGATGTCGTCGCTCGATGGATCTCAGTATCGGATCAAGGAATCTCTCGAGCTGTCTGCTGCTTTCGAGATCTTTGCGGCACCCCCGCCAAGTGGTTACAAAAGGGGCTAGTGCGGTATACAATCATGCTTTCAGCCTTA